AAAAAAAAAAAAAAAAAAAAAACAGTAATTTAAACATTAGTTTAAAAAAAAATCTAAATATATACTTTAACATTAAAAAAAAAAGAAGAAATATAATCACTTCAGCATAAATACAAGTGTTAGCCACTAGGACAGGATAAGAAAGAAAACAAAGAAAAACACCAAAAAAATATGAATTGGAAAGAAACAGATGCTCTAATTTACAGACCATAGAATTGTGTTGAAAATCTGAAAGTGTATGAAATATCTGAATTGCTAAGACACTCTACCAGATTATTTCAAACAAAAAATATTTTGATACGTCAACACAGAAAGCCAAATTTTATATAATATACTTATAACAGTACCATAAAGCTTTTTAGTAAATGTGTACGGAAGGAAGTCTTTTTACAATACAGAGATCTAGTGATCACCAAAGTATTTAAAAGTAACCAAACTCAGCATAACTAATGATGAGATAATCTGGTCACATGTACACCATCAAGTGATGTAAGGTAAAGTAGCCTCTATCTTGTAGACTGTTTTCTTCACACATGTGAATCCAATAAAGAAATCATCAGACAGCCTCAGAATGTGAAAAATTCTACAAGTCAATTTCCCTTGAGTCTTCAAACAAGCATCATGACAAAGAATCTTCTACATCAAAATGTTCTACACTAAGGGGCTGGAGAGATAGCTCAGTGGTTAAAGAGCACTTGCTGCTCTTGCAGAGGATGAGTTCAATTCCCAGCAACTCACAATTAACTGTTAACTCCAACCCCAGGTGATCAACACCTTCTGACTTCCAAGGGTACCTGCATGTATGTATGTATGTGTGCACGCGCATGCACAGATAAATAAATAAAAGTTTTAAAAACTCTTAAATATTCTACAGTAAACAAACTAAAGAGGTGTAACAAAACTAGAAGGACTCAGATTACGTTCTAAGTCCTGGGGAGGGAGAAAGCCAGCTAATGGACGGAATGGCCTTTCACTGCTGTTCTTATTCCATTTCCTCAGTACTCTTCTAGCTTCCTGTTTTTACCGTTATTTGGCATCACTGTAAGATACAAAGGTCAAACACTGTGAAGACTACTGGCATGGTAATTAAGGATAACATAAACATCTCTGGTTCCCGATCATTTGGCTTTCCCGATTTCCATGACTACCATTACCCACGTACCCTGCTCAGAATTCGCTCAAGTTCATAGACAGCTTGTAGGGCTCCAACTTCTAGAACCCTCAGCTGGCAGACCAACAGGTGAATCACAGCCCGGGGACAAGTCAGCATGTGACAATTTAAACAGGAGCCTCGGAGCAGCAGGTAGAGTTTCTAAAGAACGGGGACAAAAAGAAACAAGACGTTAAAGAGAGATACAGAACCTGTGCTGTGTTCAGTGTACTCAAGAAGTTTTCCTTTCCTTGGTCTATTTACTTAAGAATTCTACTTTAGCTGATATGCTGAAGGCCATGTTGACCCTGAGAACTAGACAAATACTCCCTTATATTTCTTTTATGGTTTCATTTTTAACCCATTCAAATTTGGAATTTACTTAGGATGTTATGGTTCCAGAAAAGGAATTCCTTTTGTTTTAATCAAACTACCTAAATAAAACTTTAATATGTTTAACAGACAAACTCTGTCCATATGCATATCACAATCTGAGAGGCTTAAAAACAACCCCTGGAGGCTAGGTTATGTGATACAAGAAGCTGAACACAGTGGCGGTCTACACTGAACACAGTGGCGGTCTAGAGACAGCACCTTCCTCTTCATGTTACCCTTTTTCCTTCTGGGTTTTGCTTCTCCTGCCAACAAGTGAGACTAGATCCCTGAGAGGCCGGCAGCCTTGGAACACCAGTTCCTTCTGTTATTAGGAAAGCGTCACCCAGGTGTGTGAAGGGCACAAAGCCGTCGAAGCAAAGGTGCAGCGATGGAAATCAGTTCATTAAGTCTGGGTTGGATCCTGGGTCTTGCATAGGTGGGTGGGTAGCTCACTAAATATTTCCCTTCCACATGAACAATCAAGCTGTGGCTCTTTTCAACTGGAAAGAAACTGAACTTTCTTTAGGTAGGGCTGTAGGGCAAATTTAAGTGACAGGTTGAGCATCTCTGAAAACCTAAATTTCAAAACTTTGAGTCCCAACATATAGGCAACACATTCATACGCATAAAATAAAAATAATAAATAAAATATTTTTTAAAAAAATCTCAACACCTGACTTCACTTGATGGACTGAAGTCAAAATGCAGGCACATTAGAACTATATAACTTTACCCTAAGGCTAAGAATATAAGATATATATAAACTATGAATGAATTTCATGTTTATACTTAGGTTCCATCCCCAAGATATCATAACTATCATATTATTGTAAATAGTCTATAATCTGAATGAGACCCTTGGTTTCAAACATTTCAGCAATGGACCCTCAAGGTACTGGGCGCAAGGTTTGTCTTTTTTTTTTTTTTCTTTTTTGGTCTTTTTTGAGACAGGATCTCTCCTGTAGCCCCAGCTGGCCTGGAACTCACTATGCAGACCAGGCTGACTGAATTCACAGAGATCTGCCTGCCTCAGCCTGCCCAGTGCTGGGACTCTAAAGGCATGCATGCATGCACCACCATGCCCAGTTTTATTTCTTTTTTAAAAAGAAGGATGAGAGAAGGCCCTCACAATCCCAGCAGTCCCAAGGACCCACGTGCCCAATGAAGCACATACATCAAAGAGGAGAGGGTTATACACTGTGAGTGGGAGCTCGATGTGGCCTAGGTGCCCGGAGCAGTTGTTGAAATCCTGTACACAGGTGGAGCACACTTCTTTGGAATCCGCAGGCCCCAAAGCTAAATCGTAAAGGCCATTTGCTGAAGGGTTTCCAAGGCTGTCCACATAGCGAGGGTTCGTAATAGATTTTACACTTAATTTCCTGAGGAGATTAAAAAAAAAAAAAGCTCAGGTTACCAACTTCTCTGATGTTGATGTGGGAAAGGCAGGTTATAAAGCAGATCTGACCATAAAGTCCAGATCTGTCAATGAAGTGAATCCCATACAATAGTCCCTGTATGCAGAGAAAGAAATTCAAAAAATTAAACACAAATATTGAAAGAGTAGAGAAATAAGACTTGCACAGGTTTCATCATAGATCATGTTTGGTTTAGTGGAGTCACCTAAAGAACTGTCAACCAGGGGCTGGAAAGGTGCTCAAGAGCACTGGCTGCTCCTGCTTCAGTTTGAGCACACACGGCGGCTAAAAACCATCCAAAACTCCATTCCAGGGGGTTCCGACACCCGCTTCCCACCTCTATAGGCAATGCATGACATGGATGCACTTACGTACATGTAGGAAAAACACTAAAACACATTTAAAAAAAAAATTGTCAACTAGCCACTCACCAACTGACAGCATTTTTCTCAATGTTGTGCCCATTATGACAGTAAACATCACACACCCTTGGTGTTTACCAGGCCATACTAGCCAGGTGTGCACAACTATACTCTTATGCTGACACAACAATGAAACTGCCTAATGCTGCATTTGTCAAAAAGTAACCTCCTTGTTAAGTGACATTTATGTACTTTTGCAAAGCCTGTTTTGCCTTTTAAACACTTCCTAGTTTACAAAATAAACAAGGCCAAAGAAACCACCCCAATCTCTCACTAGAAAAAACCAACATAAAAGCAACACCTCATGGACAGTGACTTGCGTAAACTGGTGGTGGCCCATCAGAATGAAGCTGTTCGGTTCTAGGATGCTATCGTCAGTGCCATACCAAAGCCATGTGGCTACTGCCTTGTTGTCACGGCTGTCATCTACCTGATCACCTTTCCACCAGTAAGCTAACTTCAATAGACACTTTCATCTAGCTCACAATGTCATGTATGTGGCCTCTTCCCCCAGCATGGAATCAGCCTACAACCTTGTACCGAGTAATGCTGAACAAATTACTTAGCTTAACAAAAACTGATTTCGTGGCTTTTAATCTTAACTTTTGAAATTGTAAGAAAATATACATAAAACATATTGTTATTGAAACAATGTAGTACTAGTTGGCCTGGAACTCTCTATGTAGAACAGGCTGGCCTCAAACTCATATTGCTCCACCCATCTCTGCCTCCTGAGTGTTGGGATTAAAGCATGGGTCACCAAGCCCAGCACGTTAACCATTTTAGTAGTACAGTTCGGTGGTATTAAGTACATTGCACACTGACATCATCAACTCTATCCACCTCCAAAACTCTTCATCTTGCAAAACACAAGCTCTGTACCCATTCAACCTCTGAATGCACATGCGCACGCGCGCACACACACATGCATGCACACACCCTGAACCTCCTGGCAGCTGCTTTTTTACTATTTCAATTCATCTGTTTTAGGTACCTGTTTATGTAAGTGGAATCACTTTTATGATTGGCTTATTTCAGTAAGCATACTATCTTCAAAGTTATGATAATATGTATCGGAATTTCTTTCCTTTTTTAGGGCTCAGTAATACTCCATTGTGTGTATATATCCTATTTTATTGACTCATCTACTGATAAAGACACTTGGGCTGTTTCTACTTTTTGGCTATTGTGAATAATACTGCTTTGAACATTTGTGTATATACTCAGATGTAAAATTCTTGGATCATACGGTAATATTGTTTTTCACAGTGGTTGTACCGTTTTACATTCCCGTCCCCATAGTAACTATGCTAATAGTTTTGGGGTGGTATCTGTGGTTTTGATCTGCACTGATTTTAGGATGTTGTGCCTCTTCTCATGTGCTTATTAGCCATTTGTTAATCCTCTAAGGCATGTCAATCCAAGTCCTTTACAATTTATTTTAATTCATTGTGTGTGCATGTGCACGAGTGTGTATGATATGTGTGTGGGGGGAGGGGATGACATGCATTCATGCCAGGATGCACACATGGAAATCAGAGTTCAACTTTCAGGAGTTGGCTCTCTCCTTTCCTTGTTGAAGCAAGGTCTCATGTAACTGCTGTGCTGCAAACTCCAGGCTGGGTAACTCCTCCAGGTGACCCTCCTGTTTCTGCCTCCCACCGTGCTGTAGGAACGCTGAGACTACAGATGCAGACATCACATCAGGCTTTTTTACATCCAGCTCACCAGTCCAACTTCTGGTTTTTTGAGATCGGCAGTGCAAGCTGGCCTCAGACTCTCAGACTCCTGATTCTCCTCCCTCTGCTTCCCAAGCGCTAAGATTCTAGGTATATGATACCACACGCAGCTCCCTTTATCCTTTTTTTTTTTTGTCTTTTTGAGACAGGGTCTCCCTGTAGCCCCTGGAACTCACTTTGTAGACCAGACTGGCCTTGAACTCACAGAGATCCGCCTGCCTCTGCCTCCCAAGTGCTGGGATTAAAACCATGTGTCACCACACTCAGCCTAGCCTTTCATTTTTAAAAACATTTTATTATTATTTTTTATGTGTATGAGTGTATTGCCTACGTGTATATAATGTCCATGGAGGTCAGAAGAGGGTGTTGAATCTCCTGGAACTGGGGTTACAGATGGTTATTAGCCACTATGTGGATGCTGGGATTCGAACCCAGGTAGTCTACAAGAGTAGCAGAGTTGCAGAGCCATCTCTCCAGTCCCCTTTATCCTTTTAAAAATCACAATTTTCTTTCTGCTGTTGAGTTATAGTTCAACTTTAAAAAAAAAAAAAAAAGATATGTTTTTATTATTGTTAGTTATGTGTATGTGTGTTTGTATGGGGGTATGTGCATGTGTGTGGGGTGCCTGCAGAGGCCAGTGGTGTTAGATCCCTGAAGCTACAATAACAGGAGGTTATGAGATGCTCAAGGTGGTGCTGGGAATCAAACTCAGGTCCTCTGCAAAAGCAGTATATGCTTAACCACTGAGCCATCTCTCCCCTACTTCTTAACTTTTTTTATTTAAAGCTTGGGTATGACAGGAGCCCTATTGGGATAATTAGAAGAAACACACATAAAATATAGTGTCTTGAGCAAGTTCCCACTCTCTGCTAAGGAAGAGGGAAAATCTCTCTTACCATTTTAAGAGGGAGATGAGGAACAACCAATAAGGATTCTCCTGGAGAACAGACTTGTAAAGACCAGGAAACTTGGGTTTGAGTGTGACCTCTGCCAGTTCCTATAAGGACATTTTATTCTCTGGGCTGGAATTTCCTTTTCTATAACCAGAGACACCATCACAACCAGTTGTAGTAAGGACTAACAGCACCAAGTGCTCAGCATGTAATTCTTCCACCCATCCACTTATGCCCTTAATAAATAGCTAATGTGCCAGATACAGTATTCTAGTTTGCTTTCTGTTGTTGTGAGAAACACCATGATCAAAAACAACCTGGGGGAGGAAAGGGTTTATTTCATCTTATAAATAAAGGGTCCAGGTCAATCACTGAAGGGAGCCAGGGCTGGAACTCAAGGCAAGAGCTTGAAGTAGACCATGGAAAAACACTGCTTACTGGCTTCACTCAGCTAGCTTTCTTATACAATCCAGATCCACCTGCCAAGGGACAGTGCCACCCACAGTGGGCTGGGCCCTCCCGTATCAATCAAGACAGACATTCTCTTACAGACCTAGCCACAGGCCAATCTGATCTGGGAAATTCCTCAATTGAGGTTTCCTTTTCTCAGGTGACTCTAGGGTATGTCAAGTTAACAATAAAAACTAATCAGCACACATGGTTGTAGGTGCTGGGGAAACAATCTCTATGCTTTATAGGTCTTATATGCTACTAGAGGGAAAGAAACAGAGAGAAAACCAAACAAAGTATACCGCTAGTTGGACAGGAGGACTCCAGTTTTATGGAGAAAACGACATAGAGAAAGAAAAGAACAACAAAGGCCAGGGGTCAGCGATGCCCACACTAAGGAAGAGGGAAAAGTCCTGAAGATGAAGGAGCAAGCAATAAAGTTACCTGGACAGAGGGGCTTTAGGCCAAAAAGCAGGGGGACAAAAAGCCTGAAAAGGGAGTGTGCCTGTGGTGTTCTGAGAAAGCAAGGCTAAGGTGACTGAAGCAGAAGTGAGACCAAGACACCAGAATGGCCCTTCCGTGACATGACATTCTAAGGGCACGGTGTCTATTCTCAATAAAATGGAGAGCTATCAGATCCTATGCAATAAAAATCAGTGTTAATTATTTAATGCTAGATCCAAAAAAGTCTACAGTGTTAGTGATGGAGATACTCATGCTGTATCTGTTTGAAAACAACACAATTTTATCTTTAAAAAAGAAAAAGGGCCAGGTGTGGTGCAGGCCTTTAATCCCAGCACTCAGGAGGCAGAGGCAGGCAGATCTCTGTGCGTTCAAGGCCAGCCTCGTCTACATAGTGAGTTCCAGGACAGCTGGGGCTACAGGGAGACCCTGTCTCAAAAAAAGACCAAAAAAAAAAAAAGAAAAGAAAAAGGAGGGCTAGAGAGTGGCTCAGTGGTTAAGAGCACTGGCTGCTCTTGCAGAGGACTGTGTTCAATTCCCAGCACCCACATGGTGAAGAATAACCATCTGTAACTCCAGTTCCAGGGGAATCCAATGCCCTCTTCTGACCTCTGTGGGCATTGCATGACATGGGTGCACTTACATGCATGTAAGCAATACATTTATACACATAAAATAAAATTAAAATATTTTTAAAAACTTGAAGCAATCTAAAACATGTTTGCTTTTGACTGAAATTGAATCTACTTAAGACCAGTGATGATATAAGGGGAATTTCTACTAAAACACATTGTGACCAGTGTCACCTGGAGCTCAGTTTATTCATCCACTTATTCAACTTGAGGCTAAAGGAGTGAAGCAAATAAGACTGAAAGTTAGGAGGAAGACAACCATGAAGAAAGTCACCAAGGCACAGAGTATCAGTACAGATAGATGAGGACAATGAACTGAGCCTTGAGCGTGCCAGTTTGAAGGGGGCAGTGGGAAGCAGGCCCCTCTGGCAGAAAGGCTACTGCATGCAGAGGATACCTCTTAAAGGCCCAAATGTTCAAACACCTTATCAGATTCTGCAATGTGGAAGTTACTTCTCTATAGAGATGGGACAATGTTAGAGCTAAAATCAGCACTGGCCTCATGACAGTCTTTGTAGGTGGCGCCACACTGAGGGCAAATCCATAGGAAGGTTTTAATGGGTAACCTTAGCCCGAGTACATTTGTACTACACAAGAATAATTCTAACAGCTGAGGGGAGAAGAGCCTGGGCTAGATAGTGCTGAGTTTGGATGATGAAAGGAAAGGACAATTCAAACATGACATGGAGACTATGAAACAAAATAGGTGAGATACAGCAAAAGCCCAATAAATGATAGATGTTGGAAGACGGGTCTGGAATAATTTCTGCATTTTGCATTAAACCTGGCACACCACTTTAGGAGGCAACTTCCTTTAGTGGGGGAGGGGGGGTCCATACTGAGTTTTCAACATGAGTTTAAGGTGTTGTGTGTGTCTCAAACAAAAAAAGATCAATAAATGGAATTCAGAAAAAGAAATCCGGAATATCAATTATAAAAGTAGTGAGAAACTCTAGAAATAACAGAACAAGAAAACAGCAACAAGGTCGGGCATGGTGGCACACACCTTTAATCCCAGTACTCAGGAGGCAGAGACAGGTGGATCTCTGAGCTCAAGGCCAGGCCAGCTGGGGCTGCAAGGAGACTCTGTCTCAAAAAGACCAAAAGAAAAGAAAAAACAACAAAAAACTACGACCAGAATAGCACCTAGAGGAACACCCAAGTTTTTTTTTTTTTTTTAAATATTTACTATTTTTATTTTATGTGTATGAGTGTGATGCCTGCATGTAAGTGCACCCGTGTTGTGCAATGCCCGCGGAGGTAAGAAGAGGCTGTCGGATCCCCTGGAACTGGAGTTATGAACAATTGTGAGCTGTCATGTGGGTGCTGGGATTCGAACCCGGGTCTTCTGCAAGAACAGTCAGTGTGCTCAACAGGTGAGCCATCTCTCCAGCCTCAGGAACATCAAGTTTTAACAGAAAGACACGGACTACCAAAAAATGCTCAATGACTTGTAGACTGATTGAGGACGAGAAGGCATTAAAAAAGTACTCGTTACAGAAATAGAACAAAGACAGGTTAGGAAAGAGAGAAGTTTATGAATGTGTTCGAGTTTGTCCAACGTTACAGTGATCAAAAGGATTAAAGAGAGTTCTTGCGATGTGTAGTAACTGGGGGAGTATAGCGGTAAAGATAATTTATAGCCGGATCTGAGAGTTGAAGGATAATTATCTTAGACAAGAGTCTAATCAGGCTGTTAATAACCGGGTGACTGGCATTAATGTATAAATTACACAAATCTTGCTAAATAACCAAGAGATGAGCGGACAAAGAGCCGCAAAGCGGGACTACCCAGATCAAGGTACGTTCCTTCCCACCATCCCACACCCGTGCCGCGGCCGCCATTAAATAGGCTAGGCGCACGGCCTTCTGGGAATCGTAGTTCCCGGAGCCCACCTCGAGAACCCCGCTCCGCGTGCTTCCCACCAGCTCCTTACTTGAGCTCCTCGGCCGAATACATCCCGAACGAAATGCCCTGCAGCCGCCGCCAGGTCATGTTTTTCGGGGCCAGCATCTTCAAGGTCGGTTTGGAGATCCGTCAACCCGAGAGAGGTTCCAAGTCAGTACCAGCAAACGCTACACTCCCTGCGCGTAGCCACCATGAGATTCTCGCTGCGCTTGCGCGCGGGAAAAGCTGCCGGGCGTCTTGAGGTGGACCAGATCACTGTTGCGGCGGCGGGGGGGGGGTAGTTCCAGGATTCGCTTTCCTTTTAAAAATAATCAAAGACACACATGAAACATTAAATAATTTAATTGTTTGTTGGAGGTGAACGAGGTGTATTGACTCTTTAATTTCGGCGGTAGTCTTTACAATCGTGACCTTGGAACCACCTATTTCTAGCTGAGGTGTTCCACGCCGTCTCCGCCCCTAGGGCCCTCAGGGCCTGGGTGCTTGCTTTCCCAGCATGCTCTGCCAAGGGTTCCAAGATGGCGGCAGCAGCGTCCCGGAGCTGGCTGAGCTTTCGCAGCGGGCTTCGCCTGCAGCAGACCAAGGGAGGGGCAGGTGTGAGTGACCCGACACCTCGCTGCAGGTAAGAGAACCTTAGGGCGGGCCACAAAGAAGACCCTTAGTCAACTTAGCCCTGTATCTACCTGAGTTGTGGAACTAGGTGGGGTGCAGTGCTGTGCGCATGCCCTTTCTCGCGGCGGTGTGCTCCCAAAGGCGACACGAGGTGCCCCCGGTGAGAGAGTTCCAACAGCGTGTGTTCTTTCGCGAGGTTTTATTGGTTGGTTATAACACCTTAGAATTAAGGTTGTCCTTTAAACTTGTGCCGTGCGCTCGGGAAATTTGCATTTCAATAGGTGACTTCTACAAGCCCCACCACATTTTTTTTTCTTTTTAAATACCTGTTAACTCATTGTAACCCCGTCCGCAGGAAAAGGTTTTCTCAAAGGAAAAGGAGTTTGTGATCGCCACTGTGGACTGAATGTTTTGAGAATTTTGAGCCAAGGCAATTAGGTTTTAATAAAAACAAAAGAACAAAACGAATGACCGGCTTTGCGTGGTGGCGCATGCTTGTAAGAGGCAGGTGGATCTCTGAGAACCGGGCCAGGCTGGTCTCCGTAGCTCTAGGCCAGCTGGGACTACAGTCTCTCAAAAAATATAAACGAATGGCAATGACTCCACTCTTCGGATATGATGATAGTTAAAACTTGAGAAGTATATCAGCTATTTACGTGATTTTTTTACTCGGCCATGTAGAAATATGAGAGGCAGTAAGATATAGTGAAAACTAGAAACTTAACTTTATTTCTTTGGTGTGTTGAATCCGAGACCTCATGCATGCTGATTACCCCCAAATCAAGAAAAACCTTATTTTACATCCCTTTCCTTAGATTTTCTCTTAAGCAAATTCTAGCTAGCAATAACCATGTGAAAGTTTTGTAGGGAATCCGTGAGATATGACACTCCGATTGGCATAACAGAAACTTTAAAAAAGTAAAACAAAAAATACAGTCTATGTAGCCCTGGCTGACCTGGAACTCAGGGAAATCTGCCACCTGAGCACTGGGATTAAAGGTGTATGCCACCATGCCCAGAGTCCTCCCTTTCTTGGTAGTGTCTAATCCTGACATTTTTGCCTGTTTTCTTTGCATGATAGCATCGATCTCTTGGTATGCATTTTCAAGAGAGTGAGGATCCTTTTGTGATATCATGAGAAACAAATAACATGACTTGGAAGCATTGATCTATTTCTAAAATGCCCTTTCCATAGAAAAATACTGCTTTAAAATGATACCTGAGTGCCAGTGAGATGGCCTAATGGAGGTGCTTGCCCTGCTTGCACGTTGACCCAAGTTTTATCCCAGAACCTAGATGATGGTGAAAAGAGAGAACCAACCCCACACAGTTGTCCTCTGACCACATATGCTGTGCTATGGTAGCAGTGTGCCCATCCTCACACAATAATAATATGAGGCTGTTTTTGCTTGGTTGTTTTTTTTTTTTTTCAGTTTTTCTTTGAGAGTAATTAAAATGGTGCCTTAGACCAGGTGCCAGTGGAGGAAGAATTTTCCTCCGTAATCACATAAAAATTTTTTCAGGATGCCATTTAAGAATGGAATCCAGGGGGCTGGAGAGATGGCTCAGTGGTTGAGAGCACTACTGCTCTTCCAGAGGACCTGGGTTCTATTCCTAGCACCCACATAGCAGTTAATGATCGTCCAGGGGACTTGACACCTTCTTCTGACCTCCACAAGCGCTGTATGACAGGTGTACTTTACATGCAGGCAAAACACTCATACACATTTAAAAAAACAATGGAATTCTCTACGACTGGCACGGTGTTACACACCTTTGGTCCCAGCACTTGGGAGGCAAAGGCAGAAACTCTGAATTCCAGCCAGCCAGAGCTACATCATGAAACCCTCTCTCCAAAAAAACAGAACAAAATACATAAAATTAATACAAACTCTGCATTATCTTGTTGACTGTATTTCTAGGATAATAGTAAGTATATAGTTATCCATGAATAAGATGTAAGACTTAGTCATGGATCAATATTTCAATAAAGGACAAAAATAACTTTTGAGCCTCTGAGAATATAGCAGTTCAAAGTTTAAATATAGGTCTTGTACAGTTGATACATTCTTAGTTGTTAAAAGAAGGCCATGGGTGTTTTGAACTTTGCCATAATTGCTGTGAGGTAGGCCTTTGCTGTCAGGGTGCTGTCTGTGAAAGCAGAAACTCACTAAATTGATCTCTGTACCCTCAAAGTATTGTAGGTTTCCTAAGCTGAATTTCTGTGTATTTCAGTCCAGGTGCTCAAAGCTTGCCTACTATGGATAAGGCTCTGGATCAATTCCTAGAACCACATAGATAGATCGAGATTGATCGATAGATGGATAGATAGGATAGGAAGATAAATAGAATAGAATGGCTAGATAAGAGTAACATGTTGTATTGGACATACTGTTTAGATAGATACAATGACAAGTTAGGCAGTTAGTTGATGCAGGATAGTTACAAAATTTGGGCTCAATACATGCATGAAAATGCAGATGAACTGCGAATTTCATTAATGAATAATAATGACATTAGGTCTTTTCTTTTTCCTTTTTATGCAGATTTTATTCTGGAAGTGCAGCCCTCCAAAAGGTTGAAAGAACTGATAAAGCAGGTATATTAAAAACTCAAAAGAATAATTTTATTTTATTCTTATTAATTACTTTATTATCTGGAGAGTATTTGTAGTCTTTATATGACTTAATATAGGAGTCCTAACCAGGGAAATGGAGACTTTTTTATTTTTAAAAATTGAATTTCTAGCCCGGCTTGGTGGCACATGCCTTTTGTCCCAGCAGAGGCAGAGGCAGAGGCAGGTGGATGTCAGAGATTTAGGCCAGCCTGGTCTATATAGTGAGTTCCAGGCCATCTGTGGCTACAAGTAGACCCTGTCTGTAAACAAACAAATGTATTTCTTTGTAGTTATAATATTAGGAAATTAATTTATTTTGGTTCATTTTTCTCATTTAAGGGATTGAAAAAGTAATCATTCCAAAAAAGAAAATTTGGTGAGTATTCATTTGCTGTTCATTCAGCAAATAGTTGGGTGCTTATTATAAATGAAACATAAGGGTTTAAACAGTGCCTGTTGCATGTAGACAAATATTAATATGTGATCATTTTTATTTTAAAAATGCATAATGTAATCCTTATTTTTTTTAAATGCTGCTCTTGTTTTTTATTTTATTTACTATTTTTATTATGTGTGTAAATGTATTGCCTGCATGTATATAAGTGCACTTGTGTTGTGCAGTGCCCACAGGGGTCAGAAGAGGGCATCAGAGCTCTTGGAATTGGAGTTTTGGGTAGTTAGTTGTTTGCCCGCCATATGGGTGCTGGGATTTGAACTGGGGTCTTCTGCAAGGGCTGTTGGTGCTCTTTCTCTTCCCCCGCCCCGGTCTTTTTGAGACAGGGTTTCTCTGTAGGCCCAGCTGTCCTGGAACTCACTATGTAGACCAGGCTGGCCTTGAACTCAGAGATCTGCCTGCCTGAGTTCTGAGATTAAAGGTGTGTGCCACCACACCCGACAGTGCTCTTTTTTTAAAGATATTTTATTATTTTTATTTTATGTGTGTGCGGTATTGCCTGCATGTAGTAAGTACAGTGCCCACAGAGGACAGAAGAGGCTGTTGGATCCCCTGGAACTGGAGTTATGGATGGTTGTTAGCTGCCATGTGGGTACTGGGATTTGAACCTGGGTCTTCTGCAAGAACAGCTAGTGTTCTTAACCACTGAGCCATCTCTCCAGCCCCAATCATACTTATTTTTATGTAAACTCTACATTTAGTTTAGAATTGGATTGTTAGATGTGCTTTTGTATATAATGCTTTTAATTAATTTTTAGTGATTATCAAATATTTCATTACAGATATAAATAGATTCATTTGTCTTCTCTGGCCAAGAGTTGGAATGTAGTTAATCTGTAAATAAGGCATTTCTGATGTTATTCCAGTGCACAGCATTTTACCAACCTCTATACTCAAGAAAGCTACCAGAAATACAAAAGAAGGAATGTTTGGGGAATATGTTCCCAAACTGATTATTTCACCTGTTTTATACCTTATACTCATACCATATATGGGTAATTTTATGCACATAGTTAGCAAAAACTCAGGACATATTTGGAGTGTTGTTTTGTGCTGAGTGTTTGGTCATACACTTGTAATCCCAGCACTCAGGAAGCAGAAGCAGGAAGATTATCACAAGTTCCTGGCCAGCCAAGGCTAGATAGTAAAACCCGACCCAGAAACAAAACGTATTCTTTTACACTAATTGGTTTTTATTGAAAATTTATAATTTAGCAATAGCCTTAAACTGTGTAGAGGTACTCAGAGACTTTGTTAAAAATATACCTTCCAAGCCGGGGTGGTGGCATGCCCCTTTAGTCCCAGCACTCAGGAGGCAGAGGCAGATGGATCTCTGAGTTCGAGGCCAGCCTGGTCTACATAGTGAGTTCCAGGCTAGCTGGGGCTACTGGAAGACCCTGTTTCAAAAACCAAAAAAAAAATTAAAAATACACACACACACCACCACCACCACCCCCTTCCAGCTGGGAAGAGATGCACCGGTAGAGAGTTTAGTAAGGCAGAGTGGGGCATGATCGTGATGGAGCTGGTGGTAGGAGTACAGGCAGGCCTGCAGAAAATGTTAGAACACATGAAATGAGATAGTTAATAGCATTGGTCAACAAATCAAGACCTTTTTGTCATACAGTCCATAAGCTAATTTCTGTGTGTGTGTGTGTGTGTGTGTGTGTGTTTTATATAGTTGGGGATCTAAAGACAATAAGGTAGCATGAAAATGATAATGACATTCAGATATCTTTTTTTGGTCTTTTTGAGACAGGGTCTCCCTGTAGCCCCTGCTGTCTTGGAACTCACTATGTAGACCAGGCTGGCCTTGAACTCACAGAGATCCGCCTGCCTCGGCCTCCCGAGTGCTAGGATTAAAGGTGTGCGCCACCACGCCCGGCTCAAATATCATTATTTTAAGATCTCTTTTTGTTTATTCATATGTGTCTGTGTAAGTATCTGCCATGTGTAGGGTAAGGGAGGCTGCCCTCAGAGACTAGAAGATAAGGCTAGATCACCTGGAGTTAAGAGAGGTTATAAGTCACCCAATGTGAGTATTAGAAACCAAACTCTGGTCTTCTGGAAACCACTCTCACTGAGCCATCTCTGACCCCAAATTCAAAGTTTTGAGGGGTCATGACTTAATTTGTTTACATATTTCCTAGCTTTTATTCTGTGCTGGCAGAGCTGAGGAGTTTAGACAGCAAACTCATAGTCCTATCACTCTATTTGCCAAAAAAAGATGTGGTACATATGTGTAATCTTAGCATTGAAGGTGTGGAGGCAGGAGGATCAGAAGTTCAAGGTCATCTTCATTTATACAAGAAGTTTTGCTCCAGCACTTAAAGGTAATATATTTATTGTAATGACCTCTTTTTTTTCTTTTTTGTATTCTCTTTAAGATCTCCTTATAGCCCCATTTGGCCTGGAACTCACTAAGTATACCAAGCTGGCCTCTATCTCACAGAGATCCGTCTACCTCCACCTCTGCCTCCAGAGTCCTGACATTAAAGGGGTCCTCCACCTACTCATCTGTAATCTGTAATCCCAACATTTAGGAAGCTGAGGCATAGAATCTTGAGTTTGAACCAAACCCAGTTCCTCTGCAAGATCAGCCAGTGCTCTTACCACTGAACCATCTGTCCAGCCCCAGTTGACAAGGTAGTTTTATGAGTGAGAGTAGGAATCAGTAGCCCTGGGTAGTGGTATTAGGTACTGGGTTAGAGTACAAATGAAAAATGAAGCAACAGGAGTCATGTATATCAGCCAGTCAAGTTCATAGCAAAAAAAAACAGAAACTTTTCATTAAATTTTTTTTCTTTTATTTTTGGTTAATATTTTTATTTATTATTTTTATTTTATGTGTATGAGTGTATTGCCTGCATGTATGTGAGTGTACCCATGTCATGCAGTGCCGCGGAGGTCAGAAGAGGACTTTGGATTCCCCTGGAACTGGAATTAAGGACGGTTCGTAGCTGCTATGTGGGTGCTGGGAATCGAACCCAGGCCCTCTGCAAGAGCAGTCAGTGCTCTTAACCACTGAGCCATCTCTCCACCCCTAAATTTTTATCTTTGATACTTAAAATCGTTGTTATATCCCTTCCCCTTTTGCACCCTTCCATAGCCCCTGCTCCCTGGAGTTCATACATTCTGTCATTTGTGTTAAAGCTTATTATGTAAAGTTAGTGTCCTGAATTGTCCCTCAGTGCAAGTTCATCCACTGGGGTCTAGTCAGCCTATCTAGAGTCTCTCTCTGCAAGATGAGCTCTTCCTCACCTAGCAATAATCAGCTGCCAATAATTCTTTGACTGGAATTGGGGCTTGCTGTTCATTTCCATGGTTCTGTACTGGATTTCTGTCTGCCTGAGTTTGAATGAGTCTTGTGCATGCTGATACCATTGCTGTGGGTTTGTATGAGAAGGGTCCCAATTGCCTGTAGGACTGTTTCCATATGGTCATGCACCTCCTTCCTGGCTCTTACAATCTTTCTGTCCCTTCTTCCTCAGCGGTCCCTGAGCCCTGGATGGGTGGACCTCAATACAAGAGAACTGTCCAAGGACCCACACTCTGCCGACTCTTGCTCTCTGCATTTTGGCCATTTGTGGCCTTTTGTGTTCCTGGCCCTCTGTTGCATGAGGGAGTTTCATTGATGAGACTTGGAAGATGCATTAGTGTTCTCTTCATCCCTTCCTCTGTGTTCCATGAGTCTTAGGTGTAGAGGTTGTATCCTAAATGTGCCACTTAGGCTTGGGCAAGTCACAGAAAATCTGTGCGACCAGTGGTATAACTGCAATAATCTCTGGAAAAACAGATTTTTTTTTTTTTTTTGGTGCTGAGGATCCACAAGTGCTCTAAGCTAGATTCCCAGTCCTTGGATATTGAGTCAGAGTCTTGCTAGTAGCCCAGGCTGTCTCAAGCTTTTAATCCTGCCTCTGCTCTCCTGTTGCTGAGATTATAGACATAAGCAGTCATGCCCAGCTTTCACCTATTTTTGTTCTAGTGACCTTGTAAGTAATAGTCCTAGGTCTTACTGTCAGAGTTCATCTGAGAGTAAAATCACTTGTTCACTTTTTGCCTAAAAATAGCCCTGATAAAGGTTAACTTATCATTCTAGGGATAAAGTGGCTGTTCTTCAGGCTCTTGCATCTACAGTAAACAGGGTAAGTGGAATTTTAGGCTAATAGCACATTTAATGTTATTCCTCTTTGTTCAGAATTAAACTGTTGCACATCTAGAAAATTTCTCAAAAATTAAACCAGTCCCTTACTTTGGCAAGTGGGGAAACAATTTAAAGTGACTGGCCTAGGGCTGGGTAGGATGTTATAACCTTGCAGTGTTTTCATGCCATATTAATACTTTTTAATGACTGGGAAAGCTTATTGAAATGCTAATTCCTAAAAATGAAATTAAATTTATTTAAAAGAAATGCTTGTTTGTGAGAGATTGACTCTGCAGAGCAGTGATCTTTGTGGTAACTTTGAGACATAATGCATCTTTTCTTCTGACAATAGTACATTAATTTAAAAGGATCCTGGGACTGGAGAGATGAGCACTTGCTACTCTTACAGAGAACCCAGGTTCAGTTCCCAGTATCCACATGGCATCTAACAACCTTCCACAGCTCTAATTCATGGGGATCCAATGCCCTCTTCTGGCCTCTGCTGGTACTGTACACATGTGGCGCACTTATATGTATGTAGGCAAAATACTCATGCATAAAAGAAAAATTAAAAACATGGTTCCTGCTAGGCATGATTCTGGAGACTTGTAGTCTTTGGAAACAACTAGAAGGCTAAGGCAGAGGCATCACGAGTTTATGGTCAGCCTAGACCACATAGTAAAGCCCTGTATCAGCAGGTATCTGGACTGGAGTTTGAAAGCTCAGTGATAGTGTGTGCTTTGCTTGAGTGAGGCCTTGTGTCTGAGCTCCATTACCAAAAAGAGAAAAGAAAAAACAGTCATTCCAATGATTTGTTCATTTCCTGAGTAGTCTAATGAAGTTACTTTATCTCTTCATTCTTTTGTTTCCCAATCTATAAGATGATCAGCAAACCGCAAGATTCTGGTTAGAGTTGAATGAGTTACATTAAAGGGTTTAAGACAGTACATGGCGCAAAGGGTATGCTTGGTACATACATCCATTTTATTATTGCTGTTATCCTGATGGTGTCAATTGTGAAAAATTTGTTCTGTTGACAGTTCAGGAACAGGGGTTCTAATCTAGGAGGTACATACACTAAAACAAGACGTACATCAAAATTGAACTTTGTCCTTGATTGTCTCTTTCATTAGCTGGAAGCTTCAAACTACTTTTTTATTGGTTGAATTTGTTCTTTGTATATAATGCGTTCTGTTTACTCTCATCTGACATCCTCTTCTTCCCTACATGTCCCTTTCCTACATTCATGTATATTTGCTTTGTGACCCACTGACTTTGGCCAGTGCCGTCTGTGTGACCACAGGTTTGGAACTATCCTTTGGAGCCTGGTGAACTACTATTGGCATACACAACTGAAGGCAATGGCTACCCCTTCCCCCAAATCCATACTAGAAGCTACATTTTAAAAGTTTTTTTAGATTTGTTTTGTATTTTTGTGTATGAGTGTGGGTGCATATGTCACAATGGGCTTGTGGAGGTCAGAGTACAACCTGTGGGAGTTGGTTGTTTCCTTCCACTAAGTGGGTGCTGAGGATCAAACTCTGGTCATGAGGCTTGGCAACAACCTCTTATACCTGAAGAATCATCTCTCTGGCCCCAAACTACTTTTCATTTCAGCTGTAGGGGAGAGGCTAAAATAAGTAGATCATTTTACAATAGTCTGTCTTTGTGGAGATGTTGGCTATCAGATATATCCAGAACTGTTTTGTTTTGTAGATTTTTAAAATTTAAGAGTGTTGGGCCAAGTGTGCACTGACACCTGAGAAAAGAGTTTAAAAAGCCTTCCATGTCCATGGGTGTTCCATCTGTAGATTCAGCCAACTGCCAAAAGAAACTGAAAAATACTACATCTGAACTCAATGTGTACAGTCTTTTCTTGTCATCCTCTAAAGTATAACATTGTTTACATTGCTCAAGATGTTAATACTTAAATAATCCAGAGTACATAGGATATGCACACACTGTGTGCAAATGCTATCATTTTATAAGGGACTTGAGCATCCATGGATTTGGGCATTATCTTGCCACTTGGAAAGCACTGAGAATTCTGAGCTGTTCACTTGTCAGTAAATAGGCATCTGAAATGCTGTTCAGAACTGAGTGGGCCCTGTAGTTTTCCCTATTTGGAGAAGAGACTGTGTGTGTGTTTGCATGGGTGGGTGTGGAAGCCCAATGTTGACATGGAGAATCTTCCTCAATCAGTCACTCTCCACCTTACTCACTGAGGCAGGGGCTTAGTGGAATCCAGAGTACATCAGTAACAGCTATTCTAAGCTAGCCAGCTTGTTCTGGGAATCGCCTGCCTCTGCCTTCTAGAATTACAAGTGGGCCACCATGCCCATCCAGCATTTATGTAGGTTCTGGGCCTTGTGCTTGCACACAGCCATTTCCCCAACCCCTGGAGAAGGGGCTCTTAAATGAATCTGAGAGTGGATGTATAGTGATCATAGTGTGAGGGAAATCCCATTCCAGGAAATTGATGGCAGGACTAGTTAATCCATAGGATCTTTATCTAGAGTTGAAAACAGTGGTGGTTCCAAGTAATAATACACTGAAATCCTAAGAAATAGGCCTGAGGAAATAACATAGAGGCAAAGTGCTCACTTACTTTGTGCAAGGTCCTGGGTTCAGTCCCTAGTACCAGAAAATTAAAAAAAAAATTATTTTGAGATGCAGCCATGAGGATTTGAGTTTATTTACTCTAAGTTGTGCATAATTTAAGTCTTACAGAGCTGATATATAGGTATTAGCATGTTACCTTTATATATCCATGTGTATGAATATATGCAGATATATGTGTATGAACATGTGTGTTTCTTTTTTGTTGTTCTTTTTTGTTATTTTTTGAGACGGTCTCCCTGTAGCCCCAGCTGGCCTGGAACTTACTATATAGACCAGGCTGGTCTCAAATGCTGAGATCTACCTGCCTCTGCCTCTGCCTCTGCCTCCCAAGTGCTGGGATTAAAGGCGTGCGCCACCACGCCTGGCTACATGTTTCATTAATAATTAAAGTATATTTTACAGAATTTTTGTTCGTCACCAAAGCTCATGAAATTTATAATCTAAAAAGAAGTCTGTCTCTTTTCCACAGGATCCCACAGCTGCCCCTTATGCATTTCAAGATGACCCTTACCTCTTACCAACATCCACTCTGGAATCTGTGAGTATTTTTATGTAACTTTTAGTAGTTTTTAAAAAAATCTTAATGGTTTTTAAGAATAAATAAGTAGTTTAATATAAATATTGACAAATCAGTAGATTTTTGAATCTTTTACTACTTTTGTCAAAAAGATTTAAATATTGCCTCTAAAGAAGATTTGGGTTTTTAGTTTTAATAATTAAAGTCTTTTTTTTTTTTTTTGGTCTTTTTGAGACAGGGTCTCTCTGTAGCCCCAGCTAGCCTGGAACTTACATGTAGACCAGACCAGCCTTGAACTCACAGAGATCCTCCTGTGTCTGCCTCCCTAGGGCTTATTTAAAGTCTTTTAACACATTCAGTCTAAGTGTATGTCTGTGTGCGTGTACACATGTTGAACTATATTTAAAACATGACCTGAAATTATGTGACTCAGTAGAAATGAGACATACAGCATACTGTAATTTGGTTTGTGGTTGAGATTTCATGTGTTTTACCTTCTTGGTGGGGGGTTAATTCTTGCTTGAGGTCTTTACTTGAATCTAAATTATGTCTAAATCTTTTTATGTATATATAGCGTTCATTTTTATTGGCAAAGAAGTCTGGGGAGACTGCAGCAAAGTTTATTATTAATTCACATCCCAAATATTTTCAGAAGGATGTAGCTGAACCTCATATACCGGTAAGGCGAGGTAATTGTGTTTTTCACATAATATATCAATTAAACCATGCTTCTGTAGCTAATGTTTAACTATTTAGGTGCCCTGAATATTTGAATGAGAAATCTTTACTAACCTTTTAAAATTCCTTTTGTGTGTAATTGCTCTTCAACCTAGTGCTACTCTTAGATTTTTACCCCTGTGGTGATTGTTTTTTAATTAATTTTTATTTTATATATATGAGTATTGTGCCTACATGTATGTAAGTGTGCCCGTGTGTGAAATTCCAGTGGAGGCCAGAAGAAGGCATTGGATCTTCTAAAACTGGAGCTAAGGACAGTTGTTAGCCGCTGCCACGTGGATGCTGGGAACTGAACCCTTAACCGCTGAGCCATCTCCCCAACCCCTTCTCTACTTTTCCGTTTCCTTTGGTAGCTTTCTACCTTTCCTTATAAACATCCTGTTAGGTTTCCATGCTCATTTTCTCCTTTTATAGTTCACACCCCTCCACTTTGACTCACCCTTATACACCATTTGACATTTTTGTATATCTAGATTCCTCTTTGAACTTAGATGGCACTTCTGACTACCCTTTTGTTCTGTAGTCCTACAGTATTTATGTAGTGCTTGCTGAGCACTCACTGTGTTCAGTTTCCTCAGTAGAGTAGTGAGCAAAACAGATGAGTGGAAATACTAATCTCATGGCTCATTTTGTATACTGCCCTGCTTCCCGAAATTCACACTTTGACACAGCCATCCTGTTTTCATGTAGCAACTTCTGGTGATAGCCAGTGCACCTGCATAATAAAAATATTAAAGCCCTAAATTAGAACAGTGGCATCCACAGAATTATAGTATGTTGGCCCACACCACTTTTAAGGGGTGTTGGTTGTTCTTTTTGGTTTGGGTTTTTTGGGGGGATTTTTTTGAGACCGGATCTTTTTCTAGACCAGGTGACCTTGAACTCACAGTGATCTGCCTGCCTCTGCCTCCTAAGTATTTGGAGCATTTAGGCAGGTGCCACTGTGCGCCACTCCTGCTTTACGTTTTTGACCGAAGGTGGCCCTGTGCTCTATTGTTTGAAGCTTTCCAAGGGTCTCTTGCCTCTATAGTTGGTAGCACCATTTCACATTGTAGTATAATAATATCTCCATGCCAGTCTGTTTCCTTCTCTGTCTATCTCTCTGTCTCTCTGTCTCTGTCTCTCTCTCTCTCTCTCTCTCTCTCTCTCTCTCTCTCTCGTGTATGTGTGATTGGGGATGGAGCACAAAGCCTCATGTAAACTCTGTCACTAAGCTATACCCCTGCTCCTGACCACTGAGCCATCTCACCAACACCCCCCGACCCCCTTTCATTTTTAACCTCTGAATCCCTAGTGCCTAGGGTAAGATGATAAATCAATCCAAATGTATTTGAACAAATTTGCTGGTAAAGTAAAATCAGGGTACCTTGGTGGTATTGATCAGATGTTTTGAGGGTAACAGCACCCAGGAAAATGTTTTAGCTTTTAGAAACTTGATGTACTCTGTCACCATTAACCAAGATTGGACAGTAAAGGAAGAAGAGGAGATTTAACAGGAACAAATATGAAGGTGAACTTGAAGTAGAGACCCTCAGTTGGAAATGGAGTCTTCAGATATGAATTGAATCCTTTTTTTCTTTTTATTATTTTTATTTTATGTGTATGAGTGTATTGCCTGCATTTGTGTAAGTGTACCCATGCAGTATAATGCCCATGGAGGTCAGAAGAATGCTGGGAATCAAACCCAGGTCCTCTTGAAGAGCAGTTAGTGCTCTTAACCGCTGAGCCATCTCTCCAGCCCGTAATTCTTACGTTTGGGTGTTCTTCAATTCTTATTTAAGGCAGGAGATGGCTAAACAGGCTTTTTCAGGATGGAGAAGTTTATTGACTTTTTTTTGTTCTTGTCTAATTTTTTTTTAGACTCACTTAGATATTCATGCTAGTGTAAAAAAACGTGAATTGGAGCAGTGAAGTTTTATTTTGGTGTGTTGATTTGAAAAGCCTTGTCCTGCTTGGTTATCCTATTACCTTTGCTTGTTTATAGTAGTTTAATCATCTTGTTTTCTAGTGTTTAATGCCTGAGTGCTTTGAACCTCAGATTGAAGATAGAAGTGAAGCTGCCCTGAAGGAACGAATCAGACTGAGAAAAGTCAAAGCTTCTGTGGACCTGTTTGATCAACTCTTGCAAGCAGGTGACTCATGTCAAGTAAAGTCCCTCTAGGAATTTGGGACCATTTTGTATGATCTAGATAATTTTGAGTAGAAATTACAAGTACTCCTGTATTTACTTTCGTGGTGGCTATTTATACTTTGAGTAGTTTAATATGTAATTTATTTTCTGCTCTAGCTTCATATTAAAAATTATGGGTGAGGTAGAGTTTCTAGTTTGTTTCTTATGTTCTTGTCCTGTAGCACTGTTCTAGTTTGATCTCTGTTGCTATGATAAAACACAATGACCAAAAGCAAGCTGGTGTTGATTTGGCTTACAAGTTATAGTCTAGTCATGGAGGAAAGCCAGGGCAGGAACCTAGAGGCAGAAATTGAAGCAGAGACCGTGGAGGAACGCTGCTTATTGGCTTGCTTCCTGGTTTAACTCAGCTACCTTTCTTATACAGCCCTAACCCACCTTTCTGATGGCACTGTCCACAGTGGGCTGGACCTTTTATATCAATTAGCAAATGAGAAAATGCCCACAGGGCAGTCTGATGGAGGCAATTCCTCAATAGATTTTAGATCCCTCTTTCCAGGAGTTTTTACTTTATGTAAAGTTGGAGAAAAAAAAAAACTACCACAAGCACTGGTAAATTATGTTCCCATTCTTCCTTGGTTTCTGGTTTTTTAACCTTATGCATACTGATTGCAGTTTTGCTGTGCTTTTTAAGTATTGAGAAGACAGGACCCCATAAAACACAAATACTTTAAGAAGAAAGAATGCTGAACTGAGGTGGCAGACTTGGATATTGGTGTAGATCTGCCACACATTGTATAGCCTTGGAGCAGGTATATAATTTCTCAGAGCCTCTAATTACCATCTAGTTGTGCTTTGAATTAGATCTGGATGATCCTCCAGGAAATGTACATCATATAGCATGACTGATAAGTTACTGAAAGAATGTACATATGGTCATATCAAAGTCAGCTGTTTGAGTATTTGGAGTTCTGACTGCTGTTCAGTGAATTCGATAAAAATATACTTAATAGCAGGGCCTGTTTAAAAATCCTAGCACTTTGGAGGCAGGGACAAGCAGATCTTGGGGAGTTCTACACCAACCAGGGCTGCATAGTGAGACCCTGTCTTTACAGGACAAAAGTATACGAACACACATGGACACAATTGCTTAAAACTTTAAGAATTTTAGCATGTAGCCCACTAGCATCAGACATACAACACCAGATTTTGTACTCATGAGGTTATACTTCTGCTTATTGAACGTGGGCATTGAAATCTGCATTATAATAACACAGTTCTTACTGAGACAGGGTCTCGTGTAGCTCAATCTAGCCTCAAACTGTAGAGTCAAGGATAGCTTTGAACTCCTGGTCTTTCTGCCTCAGTCTCTTGAGTTCTAGAATTATAGGCATTGGCTTCCATGCCCAGCTTAATAAATATGTCTTCCACTTTTCTTTCTTTTGCTCTTTTCTCTGCTTTTAGTGACAACATGGAAACATAGTGTTTTGAGCAGTAGTTTTATTATCATTATTATTTATATTTGAGGTACTGGGAATCAAATGAATAAGTGTTTTATAGCTTCTACAATTAGGCAATTATACTAATAGTTGCAAGTATATTTTTAGTGAGGGCCTGAGTATAATAATTCTATATATTACTCAATGTATCTGGTCTAGGGTATTTAAGTGGAAATAGTTTATATAGTATGCGTTGTGCAGATGATAGTTAAAACTATGATAGTCATCTAAGAACATGTATGTCTAAAATAAGTAAGCATAGGATCAGACTTGGAAGTAGGTATCAGTTATACAGACAAGAAAGCTACTATTTATAGAAAAACTGAAAATTTTTAATCTAATGGGCTTTAGTTCTTGAATGTTTGAGGGCTTCTTTCTTTTCCTCTCCTAACTGTAGGAACCGCTGTCTCTCTTGAAACCACTAACAGTCTCTTGGATTTATTGTGTTACTATGGTGACCAAGAACCCCCAACTGATTATTATTTTCAACAAACTGAACAGTCAGAAGACTTGGTAAGAAAAAAAAAAAGTTTCAACTTTTTTTTTTTTTTTTTTTTTTTTTTTTTGGTCTTTTTGAGACAGGGTCTCCCTGTAGCCCCACCTGGCCTGGAACTCACTTTGTAGACCAGGGTGGCCTCGAACTCACAGAGATCCGCCTGCCTCTGCCTCCCAAGTACTGGGATTATAGGTGTGCGCCACCACGCCCAGCTTCTTTTTTAAATTTCTAAAATAAAAAATTTGTCAAGGGTTATGTGCCATGTGTCTAGAACTTGGCAGTTGTGAAGAGTGCCACATTAAATGGAGGTATACAGATTTTGCAGTGTGCTGTTTTCTACTGTGTCTGTGTATGTACACTCAGGAATAATACAGCTAGGTCAAATGGTGGTTATGTTTTTACTATTTTAAGGAACCGAATTGCTTTCCATAGTGTTCACACTAATTTATATTTCCACCTGCATTATATAAAAGTTTCTTTTGTATTCTCACCAGCATTTGTTGTTTATGACTGGAGTGAGGTAGAATCTTACTGTAGTTGTTTCTGTTTCCTTGATGACTAAAGATGGAACAATTATTGTTACTTCCCCTTTTGTCTTCATCTGCCATATATTTAGGCAAAGTTCTGACCAGAAAAGTTTGGGCCAGCCCTCTGTCATTATGATGACAGTGTGATATGTAATGGCCAAGGAAAGATTCCATGGTTTTGTCCCTGACCTCTTCTCTCAAAAGTCATACATTTGGGGCCACTGAGATAGCTCAGTGGGTAAAGGCACTTTCTATACAAGCCTAAGGATCTGATTTCAAACCCTAGAACCCATAAAAAGGAGGAAGGAAAGAATCAAACTCACCAAAGTTGTCCTCTGACCTCCGTATGTATATCATGGCACATAGAGTTCCATGCTCACACATCATACATACAGTACATTTTAAAAATTCAAGGGGCTGGAGAGATGGCTCAGTGATTAAGAACACTGGTTGTTCTTGCTGAAGACCTGGGATTGAATCCCAGCACCCACGTGGCACCTAATAACTGCCTATAACTCCAGTTCCAGGGGATCCGACAGCCTCTTCGGTCCGCCATGGGCGGGTGCCTTACCAACATGTAGGCAATACATGCATACACATAAAATAATAAATAAAATGGCCAGGCGTGGTGGCACTCGTCTTTAATCCCAGCACTTGGGAGGCAGAGGCAGGCAGATCTCTGTGAGTTCAAGGCCTGCCTGGTCTACATAGTGAGTTCCAGGCCAGGTAGGGCTACAGGGAGACCCTGTCTCAAAAAGACCAAAATAAATAAATAAATAAAATTTAAATAAAAGTTCATACATATGTGGATAGAGAAAGAGGAAGCATGCTTGGCTTGTACCACGTATTGCCTATAGGTAGAGTAGTAGCCTATGTCCAAGCTTAGGAGCTTCACTTCTACAGACAGATTGCAAGGAATCCTGTGTACCAAGTGAATAGAGGTATGTATATGACACTACTATTAAAGTGTGGATTTATACCTGTAATTGTAAAGATACTGAAAACAGTATAGAAATCCTGTAGTGGATAATCTGATTATGGTAAGAAAGTTGAGTAACCATTAGAGCATTGGTGTGGCTCTGATTGGTATAGAATATGTTTCACGTGAAAAAGAAAGTGTTGAATATCCATAATCTAAAATCTTCCAAATTTAATATCTGAAATGCTCCAAAAACTGGAGTTTTGATAACTTTTAAGTGGCGAAGCCCATCCCTTGCCTTATGTGATTATTTACATTCAAAACTCAAGCATGCAGAAGCTATTGTATGAAATTACCTTCATGTGTCTTTAAGTTTAATATGACAAATGAATTTCATGTTTGGAACTGTATGCCATCCCCAAAAGTGTTCCAAGATGGTGGTTATATGGGTTTTCTTCCTGGTTTTTATCCATTAAGCATGGATAATTTTTATACAGAGAAGCCTAAGCCTTCTAAAGTGCATAGGCAGTGAGAAACCTGGTGTTGCACAGCATGTTCTGAAGCCCCAGTTGGGCTGGCCCTCTATGCCCACCCCTCATTCCTGAAACATCAGGCTACTGAGGCCACATTGCTTTCTACAATGCCTGTCAAGCCACCCCCCCACCCCGCCTTTTTCCTGGTCTTTTTGAGACAGGGTCTCCCTGTAGCCCCTGCTGGCCAGGAACTCACCATGTAGACCAGACTGGCCTTGAACTCACAGAGATGCTCCTGCCTCTGCCTCCCTAGTGCTGGGATTAAAGTCATGTACCACCATGCCCAGCCAGGCCTCTCTTTTTTGCCTCTTTCCAGAAGCTTGTCTTCTCAGTAAGGACAGGATCTTAGTGTTTGAAAATCTTCTTTAGTTAGTGTTAAACACTTTAAGTGTATATCAGCTTCTCTTGTTTCACTCCTGTTGTGAGCAGTATTTTTCGTGGGTCAAGCCAGTTGTATAGTCTCTGTGTTGTTTTTTACTTTCAACCTTGTTTAAGAGCCAACTTTTGTTCTAACATTACTTTGGGTTTCTTTTTGCCTTTTGCTAGATCTGTATTTCCATTTTCTGAATTTCCTGTGCTTTTCTGATTTTAAGTAGTCTGTGAGCAAACAGACTTATTGTCTTACCTTTATTTCTTTTAATGGTCTATTCTAGGAAGAGGCCACAGAGGAAAGTAACCAAACATCCAAGACGAAGGCTGGTCTTTGGAAGTATGTTACATACTTAGATTAGACCCTTGTATTACGGGAATTTTTTATGGCACATGAAAAAATACATTGTCATTTCTGAAGGCGTCATCCTGTGGTAATCTAAAATAGAATTCGTTTTCATTGTGCAGAAGTATTCCATACTTGGTATTTGTTTTAAACCTTCCTTTTTTTAGTTCATTCAAGCTGAGTCTTGCTACGTACCCCAGCCTAGCTTCAGACTTGGAATCCTCCTGGCTCTGCTTTCCAGGGCCTGGGATTACAGGCCTGCACCACTGCTCCCTGGTCCTTTTTTCATAAGGTCTTTATGTCCTGTCAGACGTACATTTAATGTTTGACCTGGTTGTAATTTTTGTTGTTTTCCTTCCATTTTAGTTTCATTGGTAGTTCTACCTTGGGATATATATTCCTAATTCTGAAAGGTTTTTGTGGAGTTTTTTGGGGATTGGTTTGTTTTGGGGTTTTTTTGGTTTTTTTATTTATTTATTTTTTCTTTTTTTGAGTTAGGGTTTCCACATAGCCCTTCTGGCCTGAAACTTGCTGTATAGACCAGGCTGGCTTCATTCTCACAGAGATTTATATTCTGTTGTTTCTAGAGCACAAAACAATGCTGAGAGAATCTTTGCTCTAATGCCAGAGAAGAATGCTTATTCCTACTGCACAATGATCCAAGGAATGGTGAAGGTACATAGACACTATTTTTACCTTGAAGGTCCATTGAGTTGGTGTTTCTCAACTTCCCAAGTACAGGTGGTGGGCTGGAGAGATGGCATAGCCATTAAAGACTCAGGCTAACAACCAAAATGCCCAAGCACAGGTGGTGTAATGCTTGAGACCAAAAGTAGTGTTTCAGGTTTAGATTTAGAATGTCTTTGTGTATATGTTGTGATATTTGATAGATGAGGTCAAGTCTAAACATGATCTCTGTTGTTTCATATATGCTTCTTACACATCACATGAAAACAATTATATTTTTTTTGAGACAGGGTCTCACTTTGTAGCCCTGGCAGACCTAGAACTCACAGAGATCTGCTGCCTGACGGATGGGATTAAAGGCTTGCTCCACCATGCCCATCAAAAGCAATTCTCTTTTTTTTTTTTTTCTTGAGGCAGAGTCTAAAGTTGCCTAGACTGGCCTCAGGCTCACAATTCTCCCACCTCCTCCCTCAGCCTCCAGAATACTTTGGAATCACAGGCACCTACCACAGCACAGCATGAAGATCATTATGTAATATTTTTTTGTGGGCCTATGTTTTGTGACCTATTACATAGGTCAAGTTTAGAAATTTTAACTTAAGACTTTATGTGAGTTCTCAGAAAAAAATTGAGCTTAGCAGCGTTTCAGATTTTGGATTAGGAATGCTCAACCTGTATTAAAAGTTTGTGGGGTTTTTTTTTAATGCATGTGTATGCACTTCTGTGTGTGTATGTTACATGTGGGGGTGGTGCCCATGGAGGCTAGAAGAAGGCACCTGATCCCTTGAAGCTGGAGTTACAGGTGGTTGTGAGCCGCCTGATCTGGCTGCGAAGGTCTGAACTCGTCTTCATGATTGAGCAGTTGCAGTCTTAACTGCTGAGTCACCTCTCCAGCCTCTGTACTAGCATTTTGGATAAAAGGATCTGTTACAGGAAGCTTTCCTATATTTTAAGATGTTTCAGTCACCCTGGCTTCCTTTCAATAGATGTGATTAACATACTTCTGCCTCATCCTCACTGTGACAACTGAAAATGTTTCCAGACTTGTTCTGGTGTCTCCTCACTACACTAGACTATAAGCTCCTTATGAATGGGAGCTGCCTCTGTTTTATTTGCTCATGTTCCCAGCTGTGGAGCAATAGGTATGTAATGAAGGAATTTGATGTTTTCTTTTTTCCTCTCCAGCACCGAGCTCATGCGCAGGCATTGAAATTGTATACCGAGTTATTAAATAACAGACTTCGTGGTGAGTTTGAAGACTCCCCTATCTCCTGCCTCTTCTAACAGAAGTCAGTGAGATCTTTGAATCTTTCCTTGGTCATTGGCCCATATTTTGTCTTTTATGGCACTAGTGATTAAAATGGGAATACAGGTGCAGTTTTAAGGATTGTGGAGATGAGCCAAGAGACACAGAAGAATCACCTTTTTTTTCTAATTTAACTCAGCTGTTTTGAGGCAAATTTTCAATCTCAAGTTTTGTTAATTTCCTTTTACAGCTGATGTGTATACCTTCAATGCATTGATTGAAGCAAAAACATTTGTACTAAATGAGAAATTTGAGGAAAAGTGGAATAATATACTGGTAAGGAAATATCTTGATTGTTTCCCAGTAGGTTTTCACTAGAAAGATGGATGTAGAGGCAGCATTCCTTAAGCATCACTGGCAGTCAGTGCTTTTAGCAGCTGCTCACTGCCCTGCCAACAGCCCTGTAACACAGGCTTTTTCTGACCCATGAGAGGAAAAGGTTGGTTGACCAAAGACTTAGACTTCAGGAAGACTTGGGATACTTTACACGTAATTTGGATTTTTCCCCCCCAGGGGGGAAGGGGTTAATTTACAGTTGTAGAAGCCTGCAGTCTCCTCACATTCATCGAGTGGATCATAGGATTGGGGAGCTTTTCTAAAAGATTGGATCACTGGGCTTGCTTAGTAGCAAGCAGTTTTTTTCTTAGTGTTTTTCTTTTGTTTGTTTTCTTTTAGGTTTTTGTTTGTTCATTGTTTTGTTTTTTGAGAGTGGGTTTTACTGTAGAGCCTTGACTTACTGTATTGACCAGCTGTCTTTGAATGCACAGGCTCCACCCACCTCCGCCTCCCAAGTGTTGGGATTAAAGTCATGGGGCCACCATGTCAGACTGTTTGTTTTTTAAAGCGGGTAGTTACCAAATACCTTGGGATCTCTTGACTAATCCGTTTCAGACTGCCTGTGGTTTGAAACACTTTTTGACAAATTACCCTATAATAAAAATTATTTCCTGCTTTGGATTCACCCAGGATCTGCTGAAACATATGGTTGCACAGAATGTTAAACCAAATCTGCAGACTTTTAATGCCATGCTGAAATTTCTCCGGAAATTTTATTCACTTGGAAGATTGCCAGCCTTGCAGACTTTACGTGAAATGAAATCCATTGGAATAGGTAAGGGTGTGTCTGGAGCCCTCATAGAATAAGAGACTGCGCTGCCCACTGGTCTCAACCACAAAAGCTAGAAGTATCTAAGCCGGGCATGGTGGTACACACCTTTAATCCCAGCACTCTGGAGGCAGAGGCAGGCGGATCTTTGTGAGCTCAAAGCCAGCCTGGTCCACATAGCAGAGGTCCAGGCCAGCTTGGGCTACGGGGAGACCCTGTCTGAAAAAGACCTTCTGTCACATTTAACTGTTCATTTGACCCTTTTTATCCACTGATTCAACCACAGATCAACAGTTCTGCAAAAAATAGATCTAAATATGTAGACCTTTTTGGTCATTATTCCCTAAACAATTCTAGAACTATTTGCACAGCATTTATGTTGTGATAGATGTTGCAGGTGATCTAGAAATGATTTGGGGGGGTGGACAAAAGAAATGATTTGAAGTTATCAAATACTACGTGCCATTTTATTTAAGTTACTTGAGCATCAGAATGGGATTCTAGCTTCAGTTCCCCACAGATACCAAGGGATGAGTACATGATGATGAAAGTGCCTTTATTAACTGTTTACAGTTACTTTTACAGTGAATTTAACATTTAAAATCTTTCTGTAGATGTCTTAATTCTGAAGGGAATTGCCTTCTTAACTAGTTTTAGATTCCAGAATAGTTTTTAGCATAATTAGGAATTCTAACACAAATTATGTGCTAGTGTATTATGGCTATTTCAGTAATTACTTAGTTGAAGATTGGTTGGAAATTAATTTACTTTATTTTGCTTTACTGTTGTCAGTGATGAATTACATTAATACTAAGTATAAAGTAATGTTGTCTTGACAGCAGACATATATGTGTGTCTATATATGAATAGATGATATAATAATGTCTTCAGAAGAATAGAAATATGTCTTTTGGGTAAGTATTACTATTGTGCCCGATTGAGTTTTATTTTGGATAGCTATGTTTTTACTCTATTTTTCTGTTTTTTTCTTTCTACCTGGTAATTTGAGAACCCTCACTTGCAACATACCATCATATTATTCAGCTGTTTTATCAAGGTATGTGTAACCTTACATTAATTTATATGGAAAAGTGGCCTGTATGAAGTTTATGTAATTAATTGTTGAAGTATTTTCTCCACATAGTGAATTAAGAACAGAGAATTCAGCCAGGCATGGTGTTGCCTGCCTATAATTGTAGTACCAGTACTTAAGAAGCTAAGGCAGAAGAATCAAAGGTTAGAGGCATGTAAGACCATGTTCCGTCCTCCTTCAAAAAATAGTAATATTTACAGTTCTGGTTATTCTTGAGGGTAGGGTATTAACCTTATTGTGATATATAAACTGGGTGAGGGCTACAAAATATACTAACATTCTTAAAATAAGAAGAGGAATGGATAGGATATATTTTAGTTTAGGGTTCCTTTTGGTCTCTAGAGCTGTACTACAAAATATGATGACCATCTAGTCATATATAATTAGATTTTATATAAAAAAACAATTGTGACATTAGGGTTCAGCATCCATGTATGGTTAGTGACTTGTGTATTCAGTGGTTCAAGTATAGAACATTTCTCTTTCCAGAGAGTTGGTGAGCATTATTGCTCCAGAAGAAAGTTTGGGCCCTTTAAGAGGACCTTAAAATTCATTTAGCACCTTGGAAAATTGTTCTATGTAATGGATTTTGGGGTGAAACATGCCTGATGAGCTAGATACCTACCAAATAATACTGTTGGATGCAGTAATGAAATGTCTTATGTAGAATGCCTTGTACCATACCTGGAAAGCACATAGTGGGCATTCAAGAATCTTTTGTGGGGCTGGAGAGATGGCTCAGCAGTTAAGAGCCCTGGCTACTATTTCACCATCTGGAACTCCAGTTCTGGGGGGTTTAATACCCTCTTCTGGCCTCCATGAGCATTGCATGATATGGGTATACTTAACATGCAGGCCAAACACTCATACACATAAAAAAAATAAATAATAATTCTTTTAAAAAGAAAACTAATTTTTTGAGTCCTATTTGTCCCTCAGAGAAAACGCCGTTTAGTTCTGAAGTAACAGTTCTAATCTGTCCTTCCTATGATAGGCTTTACAAAAGCAACAAAAGTTAGTAAAGGTGTTTCCCACCAAGTCTGGTCACCTGAGTTTGATCCCCAAGACCCACATGATGTAAGGAGAGAACTAACTCCTGCAAAATTGTTCTCTGACCTCTATACCCCCCCGATGCACAGAATTTTAAAAAGCAGACCAGAAAGAAACCCGATGTTTCAGTTGTAGGTCTAATTTCACAAAGTCTGCATTCTCACCTGTAGGTAACTTTTTTGTTTATTTTTTGTTTTTCTTTGTCTGGAGGAAAAAAAGCATACAGGTAACTGACTTCATCTTGGCAACAGAAATAATTGCCATGATAATTGTATACTCTTAAATTTTCATGATGGGATTGTGAGATTAAGAAGAATCTAGTGTTTCTGAATTGTAAATCTGTTTCTTTCTTCTGTGGCATTTTTTTGTTTATTGTTTGACAGATTCGTACATTCATGTAATGAATTTCAGTCATTTTAACACTCCAGCCCCCTCCCCTCCAGGACATTCCTTTTCATTCCTCTCCAGCTGGAAGAGGCAGTCGTGAATGGATTCCTGTGAGTTCCAGACCAGGCTGGTCTACATAGTGAGACTGCCTCCAAAAAAAGAGGAGAGACTTTAAAATAATGAACTATATATAAAATAGAATGTTATGTAAGTAATAAAATAGAGAATGTTAAATGGAAATTATAAGTTATACTACACAATTATATTATGACCATACACAATAATAGGTTTCATTATGACATGCCACACAAGTATATGGTGAACTTTGTTCATATTAACCTTTGTCCTTTCTTTTGGAAAAAGGGGGTGGGGCAGGACTTTTTTTACATTTATTAATTTTGTATGTGTAATGGATGCAAGAATGCCAGAGCTCACACGTGGAGGTTAGGACAAATTGCAGGAATTAGTTCATTCTTTCCACCATGTGGATTCTGGAAATCAAACTCAGACTTGGGCACCAAGTACCTTTACCCACTGAACCATCTTGCCATCTCCCACATTGCCTGGTGTTTTTCATTCTTCTGTCTACCCTCCTGTCCTTTCCTCCTACCTACAGTGGCTCCCTTCTACTTTCACATCGTACATATAAATATGTATGCATGTATAGTGTGTTTATAATCTCTGTTTTGTTTATGAGAGAAAACATGCAATATTTGAATGTGTCTTAATTTTGTTTAACATGTTCTGTCCATTTTCCTGCAAATGACTTAATGTTGTTCTAGAATGAAACTCCATCATGTATACCAGGCATGGTGGTGCTTGCCTCTAATCTCAGAACTTCATTGACTGAGACAAGAGGATCAGAACTTGAATGAGGTCATCTTGGCTACAGAGCTCCAGGCCAGCCAGGGCTACATGAGTGGACTTTTGTCTCAAAAAAAAAGAAAAGGTTTGAGGATAGCTCAGTCAGTAAAGTGCTCTTTATGCAAACATGAGGATTAGAGTTTGATCCCCAGAAACTATGTCAAAAAGACAGGCCTGGGGCTGGAAAAATGGCTTAACAGTTAAGAGCATGTGCTGCCCAGAGTGGTATAGCTGGGTAGTATGGCAGTTATATTTTCTTTTTTAAGAACTTCTCCCTTGGTTCCATAATGACTTACTAGTTTATATTCCCATCAGCAACATGAAAGGATTCCTGTTTCTCTGCATCCTCACCAGCATATGATGGCTAAGGGTGCTAAGCAGTTCTTCATTTACTTATGGCCCATTTATACTATGATGATAACTGTCCATTTGAGTCCTTCTAGTTATTAATCCCCCATCCAGTGTAATGCCTGCAAAGATTGTGTCCCATCCTGTTGAGCATCTCTTCTCTGTAAATTGTTCCCTTTGCTGTGCAGATGCTTTTGCTCAGTGCAAACTTATTTGACAATTCTTGTTGTTATAAACTGGGATATTGTCCTTTTTGAAAGGTCCTGGGATACAACTATGTTTTGAAGTGTTTTCTCTATGGTTTCTCCTAGAAGCTTCAGTTTTAGGTCTTGCAGTCTTTAACCCATTTTCAATTGATTATTTTATGAGATGAGAGAGGCTTTGGTTTGATTCTTTTTCTTTCAAAATTTTATTATTTTTAGTTTTTGTATATATGAGTGTATTGCCTGCATGTATGTAAGTGCACTCATGTTGTGCAATGCCTGCGGAGGTCAGAAGAGGGTGTCAGATTCCCCTGGAACTGGATTTATGTGTGGTCAGTTGTTGGCCGCCATGTGGGTGCTGGGAGTTGAACCTGAGTCCTCTGCAAGAGCAGTCAAGTGTTCTTAACCACTGAGCCATCTGTCCAGCCCGTGATTCTTATACGTACAGAAATCCAGTTTTCCCCTTTTTTAAAAGAGGCTGTCTTCAATATTTCCTGAACCTTGCTGGCATAAATTTATTATGGAATCCTCTGTTCTGTTCCATTTTATTGTTCTACATACATGTCTTTTTTACTAGTTAAAGGCGATTTTTATTTTTTTTTAGCCTGTTTGGCTGCCTTTTTTCTATTTTGAGGCCTTATTGTCTTACTGTGTAGCACAGAATTTCCTAAACTTGCTATATGGCCCAAGCAACCTCCAGTATATGATCCTCCTACCTTAGTGCTGAATTAATAAGCATATGCTACCTGCCTTAGCTTCCCAGTGGTGGGATTAATAACTTGCACTGTTGTGGCTGGCTCAAGGGATTTCTAAGAACTGCCTCCACCCACTAATTTGATGGTTTGTTTTTCTTGGCCTTTTCATCTGATTCTACTTAAAAGGATCACAAATGATTGCCAACAGATAGCATTATTTTTCCTAAATATGTTGGGGGAAGGTACTAATATTTGCCCCACTCCAAAGAAATTTGAGCTTATGAAGAGACTAAGAAGGAGGGGTAAAGTCTTACTGGAGCATAAGGACAGAGCCCTATGATTGCTGTAAATTTTACAAAGACTTGTGCTCTAGGGTACATTGCTTCCTTTAGTAAGCATTTGTTCCTACTCAACTCTATGTCAGTCTTAGGCTAACAATGGAAGCAATAAATAGGAGGCCTTTGGAACAGGGCTCTGAGGTTGGTTGGTGGTAGAAATGGACTCCTGGAAAAAAGCTATTTACTTTCTAACTGTTTTTGCAGGTAGCTATGCAAAAATGCCATCCTTCATCATATATGATATAATGAATGAATTGGCAGGAAAGAAGTTTACTCCCAAGGACCTGGATGATGGTATGTACAGCAATTGCTTCTGCTTTTCTGCATGAGTGCCAGTAGAGGCCTTGTGTTGAAGATAAGTTGAATGAGTAATAGCTGGGTTGGTTATTAATAGAAAGCCAAAATGTCTCTAGTGCACTGTTACATACTTCCTATTTTGTGTTTTTTTTTTTTTTTCCTTTAGCTTTATCTTGCATGTGACCTATTGGTTGCCAGTATTTTTCTTTTTAAATTTTTACTATATTTTATGTTTATGAGTGTTTTGCCTAGATGTATGTTAAATGCCCCATGTGCATGCAGTGCCTGCAGAGGCCAGAAGATGGCATCAGATCCCTTAGAACTGGACTTGTGGACAGTTTTTAACTGCCATGTGGGTGCTGGGAACCCATCCCAGGTCCTCTGTAAGAGCAGCCACCTGCTGAGCCACCTTTCCAGCTTCCCAGGATTTTTCTTAGTGGTATTGATTTGAAAGTATATTGTATCCATTGCAATCAAATCTCTTGTGAACTTTTTCAGATAAGTTTTTTCAGTCAGCCATGAATGTGGTAAGTACTGTTTCTTTCTTATTTTCATTACTTCAAAGAAGGTTCATGTCTATTTTCTAACTTTATCTGTAGCTGGGGGGCTCTCTCATGTTCTTTGACTTCTTACCCCTTCTGTTCATGTCTTTGCTTCTACTTTTCTTCTTTCTCTAAAATTTATACTTTTCAAATCATATATCTATTCTTTATTTTATTGCTTTCTTTCACGTCTCTATTTAGAAAAGCTTTCAGAATAATTCATATTTACCTATGAACTTTGTAAAGTATAGATTATTTTGCTTTTCCATTTTATGTTCATCATAGAAATTTCCCATGGCTTTAGAATTAGTGCATTGTGTTGCCTCAGGATGATTGTATGGACAGCTTAGAGTGTATCCTCTGGGAATTTTCATCTGAGTGCTCATATATGGGTGCTCGGAGACAACACTCTGGGAGTGTATTTCTTGACAGTGACAGTATTTCATAGGAGAGGAGAGCTAACAATTTCAGGGCTAGTTCTTGGAACTGTTTCACAAGGGTTTTGTTGGTACAGTGATAGAATTGCTAAACCAAAATAATTTGAGGTGGGGGTTCTTTTTGAGACAGGGTCTCCCGGCAGCCCCAGCTGGCATGGAACTACTCACTATGTAGACCATACCTGGCCTTGAACCAGAGAAATCTGTTGGCCTCTGCTTCCTGACGGCTGAGATTAAAGGCGGGCGCCACCATACCTGGTCCCAAAATAAATTTTTATAAATTTCACAAGCCTGTTTATTCCTCTCCCCCAATTTCTTACAACTTTTTGCTATCAATAAATTGAATCTCTCATAAATATTCATGTGAAGAAATATATACTTTTTTCTTTATGTTTTGAGTCACTGTTTAGTTTACAAACAGAGTAATACTATGTGCACATTTTCAGTGTTCCTCTCTCAGAGACCTAGAGCTTGCTTACCAAGTACATAATCTTCTAAACACGGGAGACAACCGGAAATTCATAGGACGTGATTTTCGGCGTAATTTCTATTAGTAAGTGTGTTGGAAATATATACTTTTACTTTACTGTGTTTTTTTTAAAATATTTAATTTGTATCTGTGTGTCTGTGTGTATATGACCGTGCATGTACACAAAGGCCAGAAGAGGGCATCAGGTGTCCACTATCACTCTCTGCCTGTTTCTGAGGCAGGATCTCTTTCTGAACCTGGCCTTGCCTATCAGCTAGGATGGAAGCCACCAAGCCCAGTGAGCGTCTTGTCTGTGGTGCCTCTGAACTAGTTACAGGCATTTGTGAGGAATGCTGGTTTATTTTGTGGCTGCTGGGATCCAACCTTCAGCCCTCATCATTTTATAGCAAACTCTTAATCAATGAGCCATCTCTCCAGCACCCCCCTTTTCATTAGTTACTAGATTCTGCAATGGAAGGGTTTTTTTGTTTGTCTTTTGATCTTTTTTGAGACACGGTCTCCCAACTATTTTTTGAGCAGTTTTGTTTATTTTGAGTTTTGTGGTTTTGGTTGTTGGTAGTTTTTCTTTTTTCTAAGATTTATTTTATTAATTTATTTATTTTTGGTCTTTTTGAGACAGGGTCTCCCTAGCTGTAGCTGGCCTGGAACTGACTTTGTAGACCAGGCTGGCCTCAGACTCGAAGAGAGTCTCCTGCCTCTGCCTCCAGAGTGCTGGGGTTAAAGGTATGCACCACCACGCCTGGCTTTACTGGAGGATCTTAATGACTATCTCAGCACTAGTTTTAGGCCACATACCTGTTTCTTAATAGTTCATATAATTGAGGTCTTAGAAATTATAAGCACTGGGACTGAAGAGATGGTTCAGTGGGTACAGTGCTTGCTATATAAGCATGAGGTACTGAGTTTGAGTCCCCCTCACCTACTGGTGACCTGTGTCTAATTCCAGCACAGGGTGGGAAGTAGAAATAGGCTTGCTGGCCAGTCATGGCTAAGCCCAGTGAAGAAGCGCTTCCTTCAAAAAATAAGATAGAGTTGAGTGTGGTGGCACATGGCTTTAATGGCATTCAGGAGGCTCTGAGAGATTGACGCCTGCACAGCAAGTTTCAGGCAAGCTGTGGTTACTGTGAGACCATGTCTCCAAAAAATGAGAAAAGATGGAGAACCCAGTATGGTGCTGTGCACCTTTAATCCCAGTGCTTGAGAGGCAGAAGCAGAGGGTCTTTTGAGTTTGAGGGCAGTCAGGGCTACATAGTGAGTGCCTGGACAGAGAAGTGGGGGAGGGGGGAGATAGATGAATGGATGGATGGAGAAACAACTGAGGACATCCTGACACCAGTCCCTGGTTTTCACACATACCTGCACGAGCAAGCAAACCTGCACACACAAAAGTTAAAAAGCCATGGTAAAACCGGGCATGGTGACACACCCCTTTAATCCTAATACTTGGGAAGCAGAGACAGGTGGATCTCTGAGATCAAGGGCAGCCTGGGGTAACAGGAGACCCTGTCTCAAAACAAAAAAGCTATGGTAGAATTGCCAGTCTTTGTGTATGTTTTGAGATTTTATTTATTTTTGGCCTTTTGAGACAGGGTCTCTCTGTAGCCCCAGCTGGCCTGGAACTCCCTATATAGACTAGTCTGGCTTTGAACTCACAGATATCTGCCTGCCCCTGCCTCCTGAGTGCTGGAATTAAAGGCATGCACCACTATGCCCAGCTATGAGATTTTAATTTTCTTTATTACACTTAATGCCTTTTGTGTGTGAGGATTGTTTTCTATGTGTCTAAGTCCTTGATTTGTAGCTGAGTAGTTTTAATAGGAACGCTTTATTAGGTAACTGCTTGCCAGCATCTGAGAGTATAGGAGATAAACCTAAATCGCCAGTTGAGCATCAAAAGATTTTAGTTGGAAGGTTAAGCACAGTTAGCACTCCTTGGTCAAGCATTGACCTTTGTAACTTGAAATTAGAAGTTTTCGTGTTATTATTGTTGTCTGTATGCATGTATGTATGCTGTGATATGCTTGTAAGTGCAAGAGTGTCACATCACGAGTGAGGGGGCCAGAAAACGTCTTGGAGTAGTCTCTGCTTTCATCTTTACATGGATTCTGTGGGTTAAACTCAGGATGCCAATTTTGTTCTGAGCTATTGCACTGGCCTGAAATCGTAAATATTTATAATCTCTGCATGATAAACTAGTAATAAACTGAAATTGCACTAATCATACCTTATTTTTGCACATACAGATTTTGAACTAAACATGCTTTTTCTCTCCACAGTTCAAAGTTTTTCAAATTGATTTGTTTAATGGAACAAATTGATGTTACCTTAAAGTGGTATAAGGACCTAATACCTTCAGTAAGATGATTCATTACTTGTCTTTTATCTTTGTAGATGAATATGTGGGTGTCTTTCCTGATAAATGCTTTAAAATTACGTTTCTATTTCTCTTAATCAGGTATTCCTTCCCAACTCCCAAGTATTGATAGATCTTCTCCAAGCCTTGGATGTAGCCAATCGATTAGAACTGATTCCTCAGATTTGGAAAGGTCAGTGTTGGTTTTGTGTCCAAATGCATCTTACTTCAGTGACTACATTTTGATTAACACAATTAGCATGAATTAACATGGCAGATCCTAATTCCTTAATGGTGGTCTCCTACCTTAAAGCCTGTGGCCCTCTCTTAGCATCGTAGATGGTTTTGGTTCAGTAAGAACCAATGGCAATGCTAATTATGTTTATACGTATAAGTTTTTGCCTGCATGTATCTAAGTACGCCTGTGCATACAAAGCCTGCAGAGGCCAGAAGAAGGCGTCAGATCATCTAGAACTGGAGTTATTGATGGGTGTTAGCTGCCATGTGGGTGCTGGAAACCGAACCCCAGTCCTCTGCATGAGCAGCCAGTGCTCTTAACAATGAGCCATCTCTCCAGCCCCTTCACTGCTCTTAACTCTGGATCTCCTACTGTTTTTCTGGAATCCTGGGATAAACCAGAACAGATATCAGCAACTTACTTGTTCACTCACCAAAAGATAAGAGTAAACAATGGATAAAGGCCAGCCAAGTGTTTTACATTTTGGTGATCAGCATTATTTTCTTTTGCTTTAAGATAGTAAAGAATACGGTCACGCTTTTCGTAATGCTCTAAGAGAAGAAATCTTGATGCTCATGGCCAGGGATAAGCACCCACCACAGGTAGGGCTGTCTTGAAGCTCAAGTTTCATGGTCCTCATTAGATGTGTACTTGCTGATTTGTTTTTCTTTTTTTTCTAATATTGAAGCCCCTTTAAGAGTAGTTTCCCTGGTTTTATCCATCATCATGGAATATTCTGGCATGCAAATCCAGTTTTAGGGTGTACATGTATTACTGTTATCAGAATACCATTATTAGAGTTAGCCTCATTCTTGTAGTCCAAAGCAGAGAACAGGAAAATTCCTCTCCTGACAATGAAAGGCAGAGTTCTTTATTTTTAATGTTTATATCAGTGTTCTATCTGCATGTTCGTATGAGCTCTGTGGGTGTGCCTGGTACCTGTAGAGGCCCGAAGAGGGTATCAGATCCCCTCGAACTGGAGTCAGCTAGTTTTGACTCACTGTGTTGGTACTGGGAACTGAACCTAAGTCCTGCAAGAACAGTCAGTGCTCTTAACTGCTGAGTCGTCTCTCCAGACCATAGCTTATTTTTAAAAGGAAGAAATTTCCAAGGGCTGGAGAGATGATGTCAACAGTTAAAAAGTGCTTGCTCCTCTTCCAGGGTACCACTTTGGTTCCCAGCACCTTTATCAGGTGGTTCACAATCATAGCTCCAGGGAATCCAGTGCTTCTGGTCCCATGGGCGCCTCTACTCATATATACACTCACACACACCCCTAAAATTAAAAAATAATTTTAAAATCTTTTTATTTTTAATTCCATCTAAAAAAGATTCAGAGCCTGCCATGTGGCCTGGTGGGTAAAAGGCACTTACTGCCAAGTTTGACAACTTACATTTGTTCCTGAGCCCTACCTGGTAGAAGAAGAAAACCAACTCCAAGTTGTATTCTGACCTCCCCAGGTAGCCTGTGGCATGCACACATATACACACATACTCAAATAATTTAAGTCTTTAGAGAAAACTCAGCTTTGAAACATATAGCTAATCTCATTATTCCAGGACAGGTCTCTGCTGCTTTTCTGTATTTCTTGTGTGTTGGTACATGTGATAGTCTCTTGATTTTAAATTCCTGTCAGACTGGTTAGGCAGTTCTGACTTTTAGAGCCTCTCAGCTTCAGGTGGCTTTTGCCGACTGTGCTGCTGATATCAAATCCACGTATGAAACCCACGATGCCAGGCAAACTGCTCCTGATTGGTCAGCCAACTCTCTGAACTGTACAGCTGTCCTCTTCTTAAGAGGTGGCAGAACCCAGGAAGCCTGGTGAGTAATAGATCACAAGTCAAGATAAAATATTTATACTTAATTTGAAACATTTACCCAGGTCCATAGGTAAATGTTATCTTATTTGTCTTAGAGATAGTCTATAAGGAACCAGACCAGAAAACACATTTTTATGAGAACTTGTAAATACCACTGAAAAGCAAACTTTAGGAAGAAGGCTAATATGAAGCTAGTATTTGAAAAGAGGGTGTTGTTCAGATGGTCTGAGAATTATGGATGGATGGATGGATGGATGGATGGATGGATGGATGGATGTGCTTTTATAGATCACTGGCTAAGTATGTATGTATTGAGTATTTAGCCTACATGTGCACCACCTGTATGCAATGCCTGAGGCCAGAAGAGGGCATTGGAGCTCCTGAAACTGGAGTTAAGGATGGTTGTTATGAGCCACATGTATGTTAGGAACTGAACCTAGGTCTTCTGCAAGAGCAGCCAGTGCTCTTAACCACTGAGCCATTTCTTCAGTCCCTGCAACTAGCATTTTGAACACGATCTCAATAAGAGCCCATCTTGGGTTTGTGCCACTTGTGACATTGATTAGAATATCTACTGCCAGTCCAAAAATGTACTTGTTAACTCTCTAGGAAAAGATGCCTCAACTACTCATTGAAATTTGGCTCATTGACACTCAACCTGCTAGCACCTGTGATGTCTGTTACAAAAGCCTTTTATTTGCATCAGATAGGTTTCACACACCTGAATCAGGCTGTGATGATTGGCGCAGGGGTACGGACCTCAGCTGAGTCATGGGAGCTGAATGTATGTGTTTTGCCTTTGCTTTGCATGTGGCAAGCTGATGGCATTCACATATATGAGACTGTTGCCTTAATCTGAGCCTATTCTTCATAGTGGAGTTTTAAGACAGACTGACCCATGCCTTGTGTCATACCGCTCTTCCACCTACACTAAAGTATGGGAATAACCCTTCTCTGGTGGACAACTGACAAGACCAGAAGTTCTCAGAATTAGGCACATCTCAGCTTTACCTATGGAGGTTGTAACATAGATGTGTAGTTTGTGGAGCTGATTCTCATATACCAAGACTGTGTACCAGTGGTGCCCTCAGGTGTCTCTTTAAGAATTTTCCAGATGGTTTAGAATAAAGGAACACTTAGTCTCTGCATCTGAGAGGAGAATAAGTTTCTCTGGTTGTCTTTTGTTTTTGAGTTTGTAGTTAACTTCCATTTTCTTTTCCACAGGCGAATGTTGGAGCTTTTCAGAAAGCATAATAAGATCCCTAGGTAAGTTGAAACCAACAGGTGTCACCTGATACAGGGTAGACTTAGCTACATGGGCTTTGACTCTTAGGTGGATGCTTGGAATTTCTTCATGTACCTAAACCAGTGCATTTGGGAACTCTGGTTAGGCACGGAAGAAGTCTATCTCCTACCATCAAGGGTATCATGAGACAATTTTTTGTCTGCTCAGTGATCCCATTTTGGGGTTAAATTAAATGTTTGTTTTCTTTGACTCTCTTAGGCTTCCTGTAACTTGCATCCAAAGCTATCAAGGATTTGATTAATGAGCATATTCTGAACCTTGCCAGTAGACCTTTGACTAATAGGGTTAAATTCTACTAGGGACTGTTCACATTTTGCCTTTCTTTTACAGAAATGAGTTACTAAATGAGTTTATGGACATTGCAAAAGCATCCAGTAGTCCCGCTCAGGCCATTGTGGTTGTGAAGTTGGCAAGTGCCTTTAGCTTGTCCAACTATGAGAGGCTTGCCCAAAGAGTAAGCACGGATTTTGTAATCGACCCAAAAGAAAAGTAAGTGGAGTATACCTTAGAGTGAACCATTTTCCCATCTGCCTCTTTAGATGTTAGTTAATAGCTTGCTTTCTTCTGTATTTCCTTCTTACCATACAAAAGGTCAGGTATGAGCTGGGTATGGCAGTGCATACCTTTAATCCAGGACTCTGAAGGTAGATGCCAACAGATCACCAGGCCAGTCAAGGGTTACATAGTGAGTGTCTCAAAAAAAAAAAAGAGTCAGGTTTGGTTACTTAATGGTAATTTCATTTGTCCTATAAGTCACGGAGCCTGTACATTGGGCTGTTGGAACTTTTTCCCTTGTTCTCAGAACAGTTAAGTGCAGTTTTAGGATCCCTTTTCCTGGCCTCTGTTGAGCAGCTCTATGATAACTTCTTTTTCTTAAAGAGAAGCCTTGGGTAACCTGACTGCACTGAATAAGGACAGCAATGCTGACAGCGGCAGTGACAGTGACATCGACATCAATTAGAGAAGATAAGTGAGAGCTGGCTCACTGTAGCTGCTGGAGTATTCGCCAGTGATCAGAGGAAGTGCTGGGGGGTAATGTGAGCTCAGCAGCATGGCAGCAGCCTGGCACGTGAAGGCCCTGGAGTTCATCCGAGCAACTGTACCTCAAGAGATACAGATCTGTCTGGTTCGTCGCTGTGCAGCAAATTGATACCGTACTGATGTTAGATTAAGCTCTCCACTCTATCAGCGCACTACTAAAGGTTTATGCAGCAGCACTGCAGTTTCTTTTCTTCAGAGGTCTGTGGCTCTTGGAGAACAAGCCCTACACACCGGCGGTGTTCGCAGGCCTACTTCCTTCCACTGAAACCCATCTGTGTAGTGCTCACTGGCCCTTATTGGCCTTAGAGACAAGACTATAAATGGTTTTCATACAATTAAATCATAATTGCTGTTGGATCAATTGTATCCCAATTTTGGGAGTACTTCGATATGTATAATTGTCTTAAAACTGATTAAACTGGAAACAAGCAGATTACTGTTTTTAGGCTGCATAACTGGTAAAATGAAGACCAAATACATACAGCAGTATACACGTGTATTATGTTTCTATTTTAAAAATTTGAATACAAGCCAGACGTGGTGGTGCATGCCTTTAATCCCAGCACTTGGGAGGCAGAGGTAGGCGGATTTTTGTGAGTTCAAGGCCAGCCTGGTCTACATAATGAATTCCAGGCCAGCTGGGGCTACAGGGAGACCCTGTCTCAAAACAAAAATAGTAATAAAAATAAAAATTTGAATACAGACTTTGTCTTTCGTGTGTGCATCTTCCTGTGGAGGCTAGAGGTCAATGTCAAGTTGGCTTCTCTACACTTTTTTTTTTTTTTTTCATCTTTTTGAGACCCAGTCTCCCCGTAGCCCCAGCTGCCCTGGAACTCACTGTGTAGACCAGGCTGGCCTTGAACTCACAGAGATCCATTTGCCTCTGCCCCGAGTGCTGGGACTAAAGGCATGCACCACCACACCTTTTATTTTTTGAGATGGTCTCTCACTGAACCTGGGGATGGCTGTTGCACCTAGGCTGGTTGGCCAGTGAGCCCTGGGATCCATCTTTCTTTACCTTCCTAGCAGTGGGATTCCAGGCTACTGCCTGGCTTTTTACACACATGGACACTTGGGGAATCTGAGTTGATGTCCCCACGTCCACTTAGCAAGTAAAGCATCTCAGCCCCAGCTTTGCCATCATAGCTGTAAACCCAAGAATGTTTTAGGAATGGGAGTGGTATCCCTCTTGCCCAGCACATGAAGACCTACCTACATTTGCTCCCTGGCATCACCCAAAGTTTGTTTTGATCTATGCTTGTTCCTCCTTTGGGGTTGGATATTTAAAGTGATCCAGAGGGCTAGTGATTAGCAAAGGATGTGGAATGTCTTCAGTCTCTTATCGTTTATTTAAATGGCATTAGTGGAAACCGGTTAGACATTTGAGGTTCACAAATGCTTTTACCACAGCCTTTGCACAAGTTTATTGAGGCACCCAGCTTTAAAGCCCAATAACCACAATGACCGGCACAGCAAATTACATTGGTGCGTGGTGGCACTTCTATCTTGGGTGTAATCGACAGTTACCTAATTGGACTTAAAGCCCTCTCAAATGGGAGTTCGCCACTAAGGAAGATGAACAGCTTTATTTGAAAAAATAAAGTAGTGTTGACATTTACAGATGTATGTTGGTATTTGTTGACCTGTGGTCCCATTTACCATCCACTCTCAACACAGGACCCAGCCATATGTCATCAGAAATCTGGGTATTTTGTTGCATTCACTTAGAAAATAAGGTCTTAAGGCATCTACGTGATATATATAGAGGAGTGGTGGGCAGTTGAATGCCAGTATAGTAACCATCTGCAAAGCATCTTTGGAGGACGGGGCAAATTCGTTTTCAGTTCTAAGGAGAAGCTGTCATTAAGGCCCCTGTCAATTCTGCCTGTTGGTGCTGCATCTATAAATCAGTATAATCCTGGGCTTTGTGGTATCTCTTCCCATCCCGGCTATAACTGAATCACCACATTGCTTTGCAGTCAGATGACTGAGGGAAACTCCCTCATGAATCTAGCTCAAGCTTTGGTCGTTGTTAGACGTGCACTCAGGGCTAAGAAATGCCTTGAACTTTCCTGAGGAAACTTAAGCCCTACCTATAGGATAAATGTCCATTGTCTTCTGTATATGGTTATTTCATAAATGTCCACTGTCTTCTGCATATGGTTATTTCATCAATCTTTAGCCTCTGGTGTTAGGAAGAAGATAGTTTTGTGTGCTATAGTTAATGACTGCCCCAATTTTTACCTCCTGTCCCATCAGTACCTTGAGTTTTTCCCATTCCAATCCTGCATCTCGTGTTCCTGCCACAAGTTTCTTACCCTTGTTTAAATTGTGGAGATGGGGTTTGCTTCTTACAGAATTCTGAAGTTGATCACTTAGTGATTTGTCAGTCTCACTGTGTAGCCCTGCTGACCTGGAACATAGTATATATACTAGGCTGACCTGGATGGAGATCCACTTGCTTCTGACTCACTAGTGCTGGGATTAAAGGCATTTGCCACCATGCCTCGCCATTTCACATTTCACTCTTCCTAGCAGCCAGCCCATTTGGCTGTGGATCAGCTCACTGTTGTCTGCATGCCCACACAACTCTAGCACTGCATTTCTAAAAGGCACTAAAATAAATGGCTTTGGGTTAAGAGCATGCCTGGCCATACTTCTGGCCCCTGAGGGCACCAGGCACACCTGTAATACACATACATACATGCCCACGCACATAAAGATACTTTAAAATTACTTTTTGCTAGTATGAGACCCCTCATTTTTACTTATGTTTTTAGATTTAGATCTTCTGTGTATCCCATGTTGGCCTTGAAGTCAGAGCAATCCAACCACCCCAGCCTCCTGAATGCTGAAGTTGCATGTGTGCCACCTTGCCCAGCTTTCATATGTCTATATAGGAAAATTTTACTTGTAATTCAGTCCACACATTTTAAAACAAGATGATACAGGAATAGAGTTTTGGGGTTTTAACGTGAATCCATTTAGAGTCAGAATCAAGTTTGCTTGAGAAACCCAGTTGAACTTGAGTTCACAGAGATTCACCTGCCTTTGTATCCTGAGTGCTGGAATTAAAGGTATGCAGCACCAAACTCAGCTCAGAATCAAGGTTCAAGAAGCTTTGGAACATTAAAAATAGATGAGCAGGAAGCCTGGTGTGGTGGTTCACACCTTTAATCCCAGCACTTGGGAGACAGAGGAGATTCAGGCCAGCCTGGTCTACATAGTTTAGGCTAGCTGGGGCTACAGAAAGACCCTGTCTCAAAAAACAAAAAACAAAAAGGCCTTGGAGAGATGGCTCATTAGTTAAGACCACTGATTACCCTTGTAAATGACCTGAGTTCGATTCCCAGCACCCACATAGAAGCTAACAACCTGACACCCTCTTCTGACTTTCTTGGGTAGTGCATTTACATGCATGCAGGCAATATATTCACGCACATAATATTTTAAAGCAACGAAAAGTAGATGTGCCACTTAAAACAGCTATCAGCAGCCACAGGAAAGCAACCATATTAAAAACCAGAAAGCAGGTCGTAAAGTGGACACCGAGGGGAGCTAGAGATGGGAGCTTAGTAGTGCTTGAGTAGCATGTATGAAACAGTTTGGTTCTTCAGCACTGCAAACTGGCAACAGGACAGTGAAGCTATTTCTGAATAACTTGTAAAAGGAGCTAGAGAAATCATGGCTCAATAGAAGAAATGGGAGTACAAATGGAAAGGGGAAGGGAGAAGACTCTTAATTTATATTGTGTAGAACACTTAGAAATCTTTTATCTTTTGTGTATGAGTGTTTTGTCTGCATGTATGTAATTGCACCATATGTGCACTGTGCACACGAAGACAGAAGAGGGCATTAGGTCCCCTGGAACTTGAGTTATGAATGACTGTTAGCTGCCATGTGGGTGCTGGGAACTGAACCTAGGTTCAAACCTGTATGAGCAGCCTGGGATTAAAGGTATGGGCCATCATGCCCAGCCTAAGATTTATTTCTATGTTTGTTAATTTGTGTATGTACACGTGTGCAGGTACCCACAAAGGACAAAAAGAGGGTGTCTGATCCTCTGGAACTGGAGTTGCAGACAGTCATGAACTGCTCAACATGGCTGTTGGGAATCTGAACTCAGTCCTCTGGAAGAGCAACAAGCACTCCTAACCCATTCACTGAGCCATCCATTTCTCTAGCCTCTTAATATGTATTTTTAATAATGGAATGCCACCTCATCTGCCAAGGATCCATTGATCTTGAAACTGAGAAAACCCTCTTCTGGTAATCTTAGTTGCTGTATAAACACTAAACATTAGATTCAGAGGAAGTATGTTAAAGATTGTCACTATTATGTGCCCTTATTCTATGGAAGTCTCTTGCCTGTTATTTTTTTTTTATTTAATAACCACATACTTAGAAGAAGCATCTCATTACAACAGCACTGACATATTCAATAACAATTTCCAGAGCTAAGATGCATCTCTTTCAAAATTGGCAGATGATTTTTAGGTTTACAGTTGAATTATTATGCCTATACAATCTTTTACTCATTATAAACTCTATAAGACATAAAATTAATTGAGGTTTTAACATTTAAAAAAGATCTCCACTTCGTTGTTAAAATACACAGTTTCATACAGAAAAATTCATTTTAAGGCAATTGACATTGAGACGTTTTCACATGCATTTCTAATCTCTATATA